TGTACCAGCCGAAGGACCTTTCATTAGGAGGCGAATCGACAATGACAAAGCGAAACAGGAGGTCCTCATGATTGTCCGTACTCGAAGGCCCAAATTGGCCCATTTCCCTGCGACTGGAGCAATCGTAACACAGAATTGACTTCATTATTATGACCTCTTATCTCCCCGATATCATCATCATCATCAATCATCCAGCATACTATTCGTCTTAACCTCGACAACATTTATTTTATTATACGATCTAGACTTACACAAAACAAATTTAGCAGGGGACCATGTCACACACGTCTCTAATTCTCAAAAGTCTACTACTGAAGAAACACCAATGGAAATGCCAAACCAAAGCTTCATGTAAAGAGACCTCATCTAAGACATCCTGCACACCAAGACAAAGCCACATGATTCCTATGCCTGATGCAACTTTCCTTCATCCAGCAGCATCCGATCAAAGTGCCAAACCCCTACGATGAGTAAAGTTATATGATCGTAAGACCAACTCAACAACTTCGAATGCTGACTAAATTTTAAAGAGAGAGTGTATGTGTGTATAAAACCTCACCATGTCCCTTCCCCACTCTTCTCAGTTGAGCAACATATTCAGATATCTTTTTGATGGCTTCCACCTGGATAATAGAAGAGAAGAACTTATTAAGAGAGACTCTTAACATAATAAAAGTACTTAGATTAGATTAGTAGATTAGGTCATGATGCATCTAATTCTACCACTTGAAGATGATGAACATCTTTTTTTGGTTAGGATCACGAAATAGCCGAATGATGAACATCTTAACAACTATCCTCTAATGGCCACGACAGCAACTAGAAAGTATCGATTAGAAAGAAAATTGCAGCTTTCTTACATTATAGTTCCAAAAGTAAAGGAAAATATGTAAAAAACAACTCATTAATTGTGGACAATAAGGGAGTCTTTCACCTGTTCTTCAAGGAATTCGCTCTCGATAAAATCTGCCATCTGAGCATCATTGCATTTTTCGGCCACCTGTTTCATGAAATTTGAACACAGTGAAGAGTCCGATAACATAAGCTGGCACTAACCAGCCAAAAACAACACATTAATTTCATAGGTCAGGATTACTTACATCATGTAATCCGAGTAATTTCTCGTTTGTCAGCTTCTCAAGACACAAGGCTAATTCCATTGCTGCAGCAACATAAACAACTTGCTAAAACTATGTCACCATAATTTAAAGTTTGATGAAAACATGAAACAAGACAAAAAGAACAGAAGCATGAATAAGCAGAAATTGCAGGCTTCCGAGTAATCTTATCTCAAAGAAACATGCATGAAGTCAGGACCCTCATCTAGGTCAATATAGACAATTTAGATCTGGATAAGAAGGTTCACCTACAGAACAAGAGATGGTGGAGTAGGCACACCCACATAAACAAAGATAATTTTTAATCAGGAGCATGTAGATTATACGACCATATAGATCTATAAAACAATAGCCCTCGTCCATAAGGTGTCAGAGTTGGATTCATCTCGTCCATGAAGGCTCGAGACTTCAATTCTTTCTAGCAAACTTCTGTCAAAAGAACTCCCTTTTTCATGGCACCTCAATAAGATAATACAACCCAGGAAGAAGTAGGGACAAAAGCTTCATGATGACATCGATAAGCATGCATAAATCGGCAATTCATGTTTCTTGGTCAATAATTATAAGTAGACCCGCGCTCTGTGCAGAAACCACAACTTACCGAACAGTGCATCACCCTTCTCGGCGTGATTAAACTCGGACAATGGCGTAGCAATGGATTGAAGATTCACTCTTCCTCCGCGCTTGTTCTGACCGCATCAAATTTGGTTTGGTTTAGTCATCACAGATCCGAAAAGGAAGAACGGAACCCCTAAACATCCAACAAAAGAGGGAAGAAAGCAACCACTCACTTGGTACTCCATCAATTTCTCTGCATGGTCCCGTTCCTCTTGGCTCGACTCCTTAAAGAACCTGAAACAAGCAAGAGCAGCGCAGATCTAAGACATATATGTGTCTGTGCAGGAAGGAAGATAAGGGCATGTTCTGGATTTTTTGCGATGACATACTTGGCGAAGCCCTTCAGCGCCACATTGTCGCGATCGAAGTAAGCGAAGAGGGCATGATAAATGTACGAATTAGTGTATTCGACACTGGAGGAGAAAACACAGACAGAGGGTAAGAGAAAGGGATAAAATCCCCTGTAATTCGAATTTGATCTGTTCGAGTAAGGAAGGAGAACCGACTTGATCTGTACATTAATGGCAGCCTCGCACTCATCGGCGTACTTCTGACGAGCGATGGACAAGTCGGGGGCCACCGGCACGAGAGAGACACCGCTCTTGATCTCCTCGAAAGGCTGGAACACGACTCCCGTGATGACATGGTTAGAACCGGCGGCGACAGCCGTTGAGACGCGCCGGTTCATTCGCCTCGGAGATCTAAAAGGAGCGAAAGAAGAAGACAAGGAAGGGCGGACGGCGGGAGAAGGCGGCTGCGAGGCCTCGGATGAGGCGGAAAGAAGAGCGAGAGCGGCGGAGGCCTTGAGAAGCATCGCCATGGTGTGAACAGCAAAGGATTTGGAAGAACAGAGGCGGATGGCGGAGAAAGGATGAGGGGGGCGAGGGGAACATATAGAAGGCGAAGCGAATGCAGGACGCGTGGACGGTGCAGATCGATGGGGATGCAGAGGCGCGTGTGGAGGGCTCGTGGTCTCCCCACGACTCTGTCCGCCTCTGAGTTCGTCGTGTGGTGTGAAGGGGGAGAATCTTGGGAAAATATCTTTTTACCTTTCATTTCACTGGCCTATATTTTCATATATCATTTGGTGTATAAATATATATATATATATATATATATTGATGAGGGTTATAATGACGATAAGACTCGGGATGACGTCAGCTGTCCTAGATAACGTCTCAGTTGACTTGACACCACCTGGTCAAACGGATTGGAACGTCGACCGAGGCACGTTAAACATCCTGCTCAGCCTCGGTCCTTCACGCCACGCTAATACCAGTGTCAGACGCTACCAGGAGTACGAGCCTGCCCCCCGCAAGTGGGCACATCAGGAAACAGTAAGCTTCACTATAAATACCCTCGCATTCTAAACGAGAGGAGGAGGACAGCCAAGAAACCCCCTTTATCACTCACTGACTTGATTGTCGGAAGGGTTGGGCCAAGCTCCCCGACTTGATCTTTGTGTAGATGCGATGCCGAAGGTCCCCACTGGACGTGCAGGCGAGGAGTTCTTGCCCAGAGGAAACGGCGACCCCGTCCCGATCGGACCACCGTAATCGGCCACCTCAGTAGTTTCGAGGAATGTCCCAGGGAGATCCCCGTCATCCGGACCTGAACCAAACCGCGTCGGTCCTGAGGCCACGGCTTAAGGTTGTTTACACTAACATATATATATTCACAAATCAAATCCAAGAACAAGAAGACAATCACATTCGTGGATTGCACTTGTCCTAGTTTATATGAGCATCTTCGATTTATAATAGATTAACAAAGAATATAATATATGAATTCAATTGGAAAGAAAGTCGATGTCGTAAAAGAATAAAACAGTTGGATTCCTACGCTGAATAGTAGTTTGAGGAATCGATGGCGGCCAAACTTCACAGTCACGGCGATCGTAATCATCAGTGGAGGAGGCGTGTGGTGACCTCGCGCGCCTTGTGGATGAGGTTCGTGAGCCGCCACGGCACGTCTCTTCCCGTTCGCCTGCTCCGCGATTCCTCCATCTCCCAGCCCTGTCGCATTCAAAGGTTTGAAGAATCCATGTGCGGAGGTTGAAGGAGACGAGACAAGAGAGACACGGAAACGAAAGCCTGAAGGCCGCTTCTAGAATGCTGATGTTACTTGCGAAGCAATTTATTTGACCGTCGATGGTTGCTAATGACTATTTGGGAACACTAGCTTACACAGCCGTGGGCGTCTGATCGGCCTGAGCACGGCGTGTGCTTAATCTCGGTCAAAAAGGTCATCGAGACCAGTGGGTATTCATTCATGGCCCAACATAGAGAGAGGTACTGCTGAGCCAACAGTGCAATGCAATTTAGGTACATGTTCACATGCTCCACAACCTTCGAGCCCGCGACAAGAGACAAAACCTGATGAGGGTAATAATGGCGACATGACGTGCCACGACGTTAGTCACGCCTGGGCGACACTCTGCCCGAGGAGGAGGGCAATAATGCCGACTCGATGTGCGCCGACGTCACCCGCTCTCAGATAACGACTTCCTCGTTGCCTAACCCCGCGCGCTTGGCCGAGGCAGAGGGGGACGACGACCGAGGCTCGCCCATACCCTGCGGCAATTCGGTTCTCCAAGCAACACCAACGGCAATGTCAGACGCCATCAGAGGTACGGTCCTGCTCCTGCAGGCAGGCACATCAGGTAATACTAAACTCACCTATAAATACCTCAAAGTTCTAAATGAATGGGGAGAGCACTTCTTCATACAAAAATCCCCTCCGCATCCACTGACTTGATCGTCGGAGGGGTCGGGCCGAGCTTCCGACTTGACCTATGTGCAGGTGCGAGAACGGGGTTGCCTATCCCCGGCGTCGTGGCAAAAGCTTTCCTCCCGATGCGACATCCCGACCGGACCGCCGTGATCGGCCACTGAGAGATCTTGAGGGACGCTACGCGAGATCCCCGTCATTCGGACCCCCGACCAAGCCGCGTCGGTCCCGAGGCCACAGCATAAAGTTGTTTACACTATCAAAACCTGTCTCCTCCGACTTCAAGATTCGTGTGCTGCATCATTTCCACTGTGTTCTCGATTAGTTCGTTGGTTATTTATTTGCTCTTTTATTTATATATATAAATATAATATCACCGTACACGGCGCCGAGCGTTATTATAAACAAACTGCTGTCCGAATGACAACACAGTGTCGACACCCACAGAAGTAATTTATCAACCGACGGAAGCACCCATCGACGATCTCCACTTTACAAACATGTTGATGCCTTGAATTCAATACATCAATCGCAGAAGCAGAGATGAAGGTATTATTATATGTTGGACGACGTAAAGAAGAAGAAGAAGAATGATGCACAAAAGAAGAGCCTCACTCTCTCGCTACAAGACGAGCCCACAAATCCTATCCTCATCGGAGTCAACGTTTGGAGACACTCATGTGCTCATCGATTGCTGCATCTTTCCCTCGAAACCCCCTCCTTCCCACCCCACCATCTACACAAACGCGGCTCCAGCCTCCCGGCAATCCATTGCAAGACTCTCTCCAAGCGCCGGGAAGATGATGATGAGAGGTGCCTCGGTCTTCTTCCTCGCGGTGGTTCTTCTTCCTCTGCTTGTTCACGGCGACTGCGAGTGCTCCACCGATGAGGCGGGCCGTGACAAGAAGAAGGCCCTCCCGCTGAAGATTGCAGCGATATTTTCCATCCTTGTGTGCGGCAGTATCGGCGTCTGCATCCCCATCTTAGGCAAATGGTGGCCCGCTCTTCACCCGGAAAAGGATGTCTTCTTCGTCATCAAGTCGTTCGCTGCCGGTGTCATTCTCGCCACCGGCTTCGTCCACATCCTCCCCGACGCTTTCGACGGCCTCACCTCCTCGTGTCTCGATCCGAGTCCTTGGCAGAAGTTTCCGTTTGCTGGGTTCGGCGCGATGGTCGCCGCGATCGCGACGCTGATGATGGACACTGTGGCCACCGGATACTTTAGCCGCTCGCACAGCGCTAGGGCTCGGACGGCGGCCGTGACCGATGAGACCAAGGCCGACATGGAGGCTCCCCACGGCATGCACGGGCACAACGACGTTCACGTACATAGCCATGCAAATCACGGTCACATTCACGAGGATCCTTCGGCTCAGCAGCTGATCCGCCATCGCGTTATCTCTCAGGTAAAATCACTGAACTGCTTGCTCTAACGAGGCACAAGTTGATAATTTCTTCGGTGCTTTCTTCGTGAAGCAGTCAGAGAGATTTTGATTTCGATGGGTGCACAACACAGGTTTTGGAGCTCGGCATCGTGGTTCATTCTGTAATAATTGGGATTTCCTTGGGCGCATCGGAGACTCCATCTACGATAAGGTCTCTGCTGGCCGCTCTCAGCTTTCATCAGTTCTTTGAGGGTGTAGGGCTCGGAGGATGCATCGTGCAGGTAACTCAAATGAGGAGTGTTGGGTTAGACTAGCCATGATCGATTTACATAAAAATGCCACATCAAAATTCGATTGATTTTTGCTAGCGAAAGCATTGTGGTTTTGTGTCGCAGGCGAAGTACCAAATGAAGTCAATGGTAACGATGGGGCTCTTCTTCTCCCTCACGACACCGGTTGGGATTGCGGTAGGTATGGGAACATCATCGGTGTACGACGAAAACAGTCCCACAGCTCTCGTCGTCGAAGGTCTTCTGGATTCTGCCTCCGCCGGAATCTTGATTTATATGGCCCTCGTTGATCTGCTTGCCCAAGATTTTACGAATCCGAGGGTGCAGAGCAAACCCAAATTACAACTTGCCATGAACATCTCTCTCCTTCTGGGAGCAGCACTCATGTCTATTCTTGCCAAGTGGTCTTAGAACCATTTGTACTCTGTACGATAGATAATTTTTGCATCGTTATTATTATAGTTGTCTGTGAAATTTGTGATGCTAGTGGAAATTACTTTTTAGGAGTGCTACCGAGAACAAATTGGAGAATGTGATGAGGGCCACAATGACATCAATGGCAAGATTGGATTGGGACAGCTGCTCGGATATAAATCACAAGTGTCCATCTGCAACAATGTCCGGTTCATTAATTCATGTGACCGATTCAATCTCCACTTGAGGACTGCAGTTGATGTGTGGAAACTCGAGACATTGTTGCAGGTCCATTAGTGGCCCCATTGGTCCTCCTCCATTTGGATTACTTGAGACTCCCCATTTTGTGCCAGAGAGTACTCGAGCGTTGTGGCCCCATTCGTCCTCCGTTTGGATTTCATGAGACCCCCCATTTCTGACAAATAGTACTCGAGCAATAAAATGGAAAAGAAAGATAGAAAGAAAGAGTCAATTTGATATATAATCAAATTCTATTAAAGATTTCATTATGAATGTAATTGATTTAGTAACAAATCTTTTTCGACGCTGACTGTATCATAATTTTATTTGATTTAAATTACTAATTAAAATAATTAAATTAGAGTTGATAATAATATATCCATCAAATTTTTATAAATTAATTTTAATATTTTTATTTTTAATGTGGGACTAATCAGGATATTACGATTTTTCTCCTTCTAGCACTTGATATTCTTATCGAGGTCCAACATAACCTAGTTCAAATCCTAATATGATGCATATTAGGTATAATACAATGGTAACTCTACGTCGTGACGAGTCATCTGACTTAATCCACATGTAGTCCTTTTCTATTTGAGCCCTTCCACTATGATCAAATATAGATAAATATAAATTAATTCTAATACAAAATGTCATGATTTAGGTTTGATAGGCTAAGTAGCCCATCAATGTTATTGACACTTATCATTCTATATAAAACTTCACATTGTTCTTTGTCAATCGGACAAAAGCATAATTATTTTTAAAAATTCTTTTAAAAATCTTATATAATATGGATGTCCTTTAATACTAACATCTTCAATTCTTCTTTAGAAATGATGAGTAAGTACTCTTAACATCCTTTTAATAATAATTGGATATCACTCAATGCTTAAATAATAAGAGGAGGATTTTTTTGATTTCCAATGAGCTTAAAGGATGATTAATCTAGGTGTGAGAAAACAATAATATTTAAAAAATAATCATCACTTATATGGTATGTTGAAAGCTCGTTCATATCAAAAATAACAACGAAGTCCTAAAACTCTAGTAGAATAAGGTTCACAACCAAATCATGACTTTTAATGGCAATAATATAGTTTTTAAATATATAATTAGTTATTATAGAATTTTTAACTAGTGTTGCTACCATTAGTGTATTACTCATTATCCTAGAATTTTTATACAGTCTTATAGCAAAATGAGATGATCTAAAAGTATATATAAAATCGGAATCCATAAGTATAGTAGCAAACATTTTATAGAGTGTGATTATAACTTATAGATTCTAAAAGTTCACTATCTTAATGGGTGAGAACATAGACCTTGACTTCTCCATTTAGGTCCCAACTATCGTTATCCATATGTTTGTTATGGAGATTAGTGTTGATATTATTTCTATAGCAGTCCTTTAAAATAGATTAGGGTTGAGGCTGACTTATGAGTTGAAGCTTATTGGTTGGCCTAGCCTATTAGCTAGGCTTAGTCGGCTAGTTGATTTGAATTCAAATTATAACCAACTCCCCTAATTCTAAATTATGACATCATAGAATTATAATAAAAAATTATTCATTAGCATTGAGTAATTAAAATATAATAAATAATAGTATATTTAAAAAATAAAATTACATAAAAAAAGAAAATAATATTTTTAATCAAGTACTATATAAATCTAATGAAAATCAAATATCATGCATTTAAGATAAAATTTTAGAAACATCATATAATATGAATAATTCTAATAAGTTTTAATCCTAAAATAAAATTTTAAACCTTTAAAATGTATAAAAAATTTTAAAATTTTACTTAACATGAATAATTATAAAAATATTTTAATCTAATAATAAAATTTCAAACAATTAAAGGAATAGAAAAAATTTAGAAATTACATATAGCATGTATAATTATAATATATTTTAATCTAAAAATAAATTTTTCAACATTTAAAACAGACAAATTATTTTTTGGACATAAGAACCTACCTTTTCTTAAAAAGATGCAACTCCTAGTTCTTTGTACTATTAGGCTTGGTTCAGAAAGAAGGAAAGAAGATGAATCTCTCTCTTTAAATAGGAGGAGGTGAGCTCTCCACATAAGGTAAGATTTTTTATTTTTATATGTATTTAACCTTTATTTTTATTTAATTTATAAGTCTAAATTGAAGATTTGATCATTTCTCTCATGTTAAAAGAAATTTGGTCTAAATTACCTCTTGATTTGAATGGTTTTGCAAATAGTTCTTTGCCCGGGATATAATTTTATTCCTCAATATATATATATATATATATATATTGAAGATCTAGATTGGTTACTCTACGAAGGTGACATCATTTATTAGTCGTAAAGTTGGTAGGATATAATATAAGATGAATCTTTAATATACCTCTAAAATATAGAGACGAGGAATACAATGTGAGCTAAATTCAAGGGTAATGCCAATCTATATGCTATAGATATGAGATCTCAAATGAGCTAATTAATATACGTCAACTTCTCTCTTTAGATAAATCTCATAACTCTTTTGGTTGGTGATACCTTTAAAAAGTTTTGATCACTAGCTTTGAATTCCAAATCTCTTCACTATAATTCAAATATTATTAACATCTCTTTAAATCAATTGAGATTTGAAAAGTTTTTATTATCCCACTTTGTCGTCCCAGTACATAAGTAATTTGTATTTTTTCCTTATAAAAAGTTTCTACTAGAGTGATAGCTATCATTATAAGCAAACTCAATTAGGTATAAAGTGCCCAAGGATTTCTATAAACTTTTTCAAAACTTGAAGGTAAATCTTTGATATCTATTTGAGATAGTGTAATGATCTCCTTAATATAAAAACTTGTTAGCTTATCCAAGGGATACTTCTTAGAAAAAAAAATGAATAAATTTATTGAGTCTGTCCACTACTACCTAAATTTCATTGTATTATTTCGTAGTCCTGGATAGTCCTATTAAAAAATCTATAGTAACATATTTTCATTTAACTCGGGAAATAAAATCTTTTACAATCTTCTAGTAGGTATTAGATATTTTATCTTCACTATTAGCAAATCACATATTTAGAGATAAACTTTACTATATCTCTTTATACTATATCACCAGTTAATGCAAACATCTTGATAGTTATAGAATAGATATTAAATCTTGATATGTGGGTCTCTTTTGATATTTGCATTTTTAATGAATGACTTTCTTTAATATCTTCTACCAAAAATAATTATGCCATCAAGAATATCAAAAGAAATCTTTATTTATCTTGGTTAAAAATTCAATCTTTATATATATCAAATTTATCATCATCAAAATTTCTTTGAATATTTATATAAACTATAAGACTTTAATCTTTTTAGAATAATAGTTAATATTAAAATCATAATCTTTTACAAAATTGATTATCTTTTCTGTCTCATATTCAAATCCTTACTAGTGAAAATACTTAAACTCTTATGATTTATAAAAAATTTAAAATTCTACGTAAACAAATAGCACATCCAAATTGATATCAACATTATTTATCAACACTAATAAATAAATTTAATTAAATTGAATTCAAGCACAAGCGACTGAAAGAAAGCAAACATCTCTAGATCTGGTCAATGAGTTGAAGACCATCAAATCCTTCTATCGATCATGTCCATAGCAACCAATTGGAAATGTCCATTAATCTTGATCAGATACATTACAAAGTTAATAAATAAACAGACAACGTTCTCACAGTTGTTGGAAATAATGTTGCAATCGTTATCAGAAGAAAGTTCCATACCACTACGTTTAATCCATAACCTAAAAGCTTAAGTTGTTAAATTAAATTAATATTTAATCCTATATATATATATATATATATATATATATATATATATATATATATATATATATATATACTGTGGAACGTGGAGGAGTAATTAACGCCTGCACAACCTCTTTTCGCGTCTTTCCCCCACCAGCTCAGATGGCATGAATGCCTCCAACAACTCCTGTTCTGCGTGCCTCGCCGGTCGGCCTCTTTATTACGTGCGGCACATGAACCCACCCGATACGATAAATGATGTGAGGACAGTCCTCGCACTTTACTTTAATTAAAGGACTGTCGCAGACGTGCTGTTCTTACACGTTCAAGCTATGCCAACTCGAAGTTGCACTAATACTAATGCAAGTTAATGTTAGTATATTATGGGTCTAAGACATGTCACAATCGATGTCACGTTGCGTTATAACCGAGTCAGCAAGGGAAGCATCCCCACGTGCTAAGTCAGAACCCGTACCAATACGTTGTTTGGTATATCCCGTCCCGGAAGCTCGGGACGATGTTTCACCCCCACGCGTCAACTTGTCGGAGGGGCCAAAGTCGAAAATCACTCGACGAATGTCATTTTTGTAGGAAAACGACCACCATCGAGCCGCGAGCATCTCAACATGGGAATTGCCATCTAGTATACAAAGGTGAGCTATCGACCAGCTTGGAGACGGAGAAGACGTTGCTCAACGCAAACAGTGCCCTGACTGAGGAACGTCGATTAACACCCTATCGAGAGGCCCTGGCCTACCTCGACATCCAGTTTAGCCGACAAAAAGCTCCCGACATCGACTCGTGGACCAAACTATACTGACTAATCAGTCACGACACATTTGTTCACGAATACTATAGTCCTCTTACCTAATGGAAGTTGCTTCCTCTCCTCACCTAAATCGCGCACATTCAAAGTTTGGTCAATGCTACATAAGTGATTCTAATTAATGTTGGTTTCTTTTAGAAAAGGACGTAATTATAACGATAGAAACGAATAGAAAACTCACTACCCACCCTTACATTTCGTTCACCAAAGATTCTTATCGTTCGGACTCGATCACTCCAACATTTTTAAGAATAAATTTCATGGATCACAAATTAACTCATCATCTATCTATGCCGATCGTACTATTCAGTTGTGTTTCACATCTTCTTTGTACATGGTGTGGTTGGGAATTAATGTTTCGAGTGTCGCCAAGGTTGGAATTGGGTGTACCAAACCTTACGATTTGACTTGTTGGCAAGTGTCATCAATTGCACTGACAATGACAATGATAGTTCAGCTTAAGTCTGAGCCGAGCACCGGTTTCCTTTGACATACTGTTGTCCATAAGCCACAATACAATACGAAGAAAAAGACAAGGAAAAAAATATACTAAATATTTTTACCAATAAAATCGTGTCGATTGTTGTTTTCATGATAGCGTTAGGTTATATATATATATATATATATATATATATATATATATATATATATATATATATATATATATATATTGTGTACTATCTTAGGTCAAGGATCGAAAATGAGCTCTTGAGTTCAACATAAAAAAAAAAGTGTCTGATACATTTTTCTCGGGACCAAGCATCATAAACATATCTGATATGACTTTCTTAGGCTAAATATTGAAAATATATTTGATGTATTCTTCTTGAGTTAAGCATTGAAAATGCATCCGATGTATCTTTCTTGGTCTAAGCATCAAATATCATAAATGCACTCGATATACTTTTCATAATACATTCGATGCATTTTTCTTGATCTAAGCATCAAATATCATAAATGCACTCGATATACTTTTCATAATACATTCGATGCATTTTTCTTGATCTAAGCATTGAAAATATTTTCAATAAGTTATCCTCGGGCCAAGCATTGAAAATACATTTGATGTGTCTTTCTTAGACTAAGCATCAAATATATGTCCGAAATGTCTTTCTTGGTTTACGCATCGAAAATATACTCGATGTGTTCTTTTCGAACTAAGTATAAAATATATATCTAATATATTTTTCTCGGACTAAGCATAAAAATATGCCCGATACATCTTTATCAGGCTAAGGAAAAACAATATGTGTAATGGATTCCTCTCGAGTTAAGCATAAAAAATATTTCAGATACACCCTTTTGGGAAAGCACTCAAGTCATCTCCCTCGAGATAGGCTTGGATGGTGTCTAATGCATTGATCAATAGTGTGCCAAGCCACACTTGGTTGTACTTCCAAATCTCTTTGAGAAAGCTCTCGAACTATACTTTCTAGAGGATAAATGATAGAGAAAATGAATTCGCTCAATCATAGCTCGAACATGAGGTAACAACAATTAGCTAGTAGGAATAAGTCATAGCCAACAATCGAGCCATGTGGATGTTAATTTTTAAAAAAATTCCAATAATACTATAGAATATTCTTCTGAATTTAATATACCATAAAAACTCGTTATAATTGAGGACAATTAATATTTACTCAAAACTCTCACCTTTAGTTTGGAACTAATTTGAGCATCTTATTGGCTAGGTAAAATCGATGATAATTAAGATTAAAATTAAACATGCTATTCAACTAAAACATCAATATTAGAAGTTAAAAAAAATAGCAAGGTCCTCTTCAAGATTTTGAACAAGCAACAATCTTAAAATCTCCCTTGATTTTTATTAATTATTTTAAAATACTCAACCTAGCAAAATGATTTGTTGAATATAAATAGTTTCATGTGTTTCGTAGCTAATTTTATTAGGAGTTCAAAAAGTTTCATCATATGGATGTAAAATTAGCTCATTTAAACCCTCGAGAAGCATGGAATACAAGTCTTTAAGGTAATCTAAATTTCATTCTAAAAGGAAAGCCCATTGCATAGACGTCACGAGTTTAAATCAATGCTACCGTCCTAACATGCATGTCACCCAACTAATTGGACTTAAACGTTGACGTGTGCATCAAATTAAATATTACTTTCCCCACCAAAAAGCCAACCACCCCAACCCCACCACCACCACCTTTAATGTGTTCTCGTCCCATTACATACATACGCTGATTCACCAACCTATGTAGCTTCATAATGCCATGTTGAAATCGACGGAACACGCGGCCCCACTTTCTCCGGACATGAGAGAACAAAAATGAATGAGCCCATATTTCTCATTCGTTCGGCGCACATATTTCTCATTTATTCCGCCAAAATGATCCTTTTTTTTTTTTGTCTTGTTTCTTTGTGTCAGACTTGGATCAAAACATTAGAATCATGCCGTGCGATGGCAAATGACTCTGCCTACCAACGATGCTACTGCCAAAATATATGGCCTTCACATGGACCGATTCATGCCCAATATCCTATGTTTTCGTCATGGAGAAGTTTACTTACATGAGAGAGAGAGAGAGAGAGAGAGAGAGAGAGAGCATTGTGAACTTGTAAACTTCATTGAATTTTCCTTCTTAGTATCTTATTAGATGGACGGTTGTCACCACAGCGAGGGATCCATGCGTGACCTGTCCCCCTACACTCCCCCTGCACTCCTTTGGTTGTTTCCTTGTGAACTAATAATAATAATAATAATAATTTATTCTCAGATAAGGAATCTCGACTCTGAATCCCTTTTAATCTCATGAAAAATAAAAATTGTATTGAAGAATAATTTGTATTGTCGTGCAATGATATATGTCAAGTTCGAATATATATATATGTATAGTAATAAATAAATATATATATATAGTTTTATTTTCATAAAAAAATATATATATTCACAAGGATAAATATGTCAAATCATGTATACAGCCTTGTGACCATTTAATTAAGAGGCCACCGGAAGCCTTCAATGAATGCCTTCGCAATCTGGAGAGGCCGACCAAAAGCTGCGTCGCTGGGTGTGCGTCGATGAAGTCGCCGTTCCCCCATAGAAGGCGCAACCTCCGCACCCGTCTTTTCGTCTTCTCCTTCGTCGCCTTCGTGATCGTCCTCTACGGCGAGGACTTCACGTGCATCCTCGGCACTCCATTCCGGCGACCAGATGATCCACCGCCGCAGCAGCAGCAGCAAGGAAGAGTCCCGAGAGGTTCGAAAGAGAGAAAGGAAACGAGACTTCGTTGTGAATTACTGCGTATGGATGAATAGCCTGACTGACTGACCGAGTCGATGTTGATTCGGAACAGAGAAGGACGAGGCGGTGGTGCCGTTCGCGGTGGGGAAGACGGAGGAGGGATGCGATGTCTTCGCGGGGGAATGGGTGTACGACGAGTTATCGAGGCCGCACTACGGCGAGGAGGACTGCCCCTACATCCAGCCCCAGCTGACATGCCAGACGCACGGCAGGCCCGACTCCGGCTACCAGCACTGGAGATGGCAGCCGCATCGCTGCTCTTTACCCAGGTATCTATCTATCTTTCTGCATCTGCCGATACAAACGGCTTAGCTTCTTTTCCGCCGACGGCGACTCGATTCCATCTTTTTTTCTTTCTTTTTTTCTTTCTCTGGTTTTGTTTGGTTGATCGGTAGTGAAAGACAAATGGTTCCGTCGTCACACGAAGATATATTTGCCCGTGAGATGCTTAAGAATTCTCGAACGCATATGCGTCGGAATGTAATCAACCCCTCTTCCTTGGTGTCCTTGTAAGCTTGGTGACAAAGGTGTCGTATGGACCATAAGTTGGGCTTGGGCCGAACGCCGTCCTTTGTGACGACAAAACATTCTGTGCCATCGTTGATAGTAATGTAAGGATTTTGGCCCACGCTTGGGCACACGGGAATGTACTACTCGGGGATTAGGACGTGAGACATGGGAAGGTGTGATAAGAGTTTGCAGGTTAACCTCGTCAATGGTTGATTGTTCTTTCGAAAGATCAATTTCAGCGATTTGAGTCCATTTCGTCATGGATGACAGCTTCGACGCCACCTTAATGCTGGAAATGCTTCGAGGCAAGCGGATGATGTTCGTGGGTGATTCCTTGAACCGGGGGCAATTCGTATCCATGGTGTGCCTCCTGCATCGGGTCATTCCAGAGCACGCCAAATCCATGGAATCCTTTGACTCGTTCATGGTCTTCACGGCCAAGGTTAGCATCTCCGCAGGTCGTCTTCCATCGTCTCTTCCCACCTCCCTCCCCACCTGCACTGCCGCTGAAATCGACCATCGTTCTTATGATAGGACTACAATGCGACGATCGAGTTCTACTGGGCGCCGTTTCTGGTGGAATCCAACTCCGACAACGCCCTCGTCCACAGGATCAAAGAGCGGATCGTCCGACCGGGTTCCATCATGAAGCACGCTCGCCATTGGAAGGGAGCCGACATCGTCGTCTTCAACACATACCTTTGGTGGATGGCCGGCCGCAAAATGAAGATTCTGTAACCGAGGAGCCTCGACTCTGTTTCCTTGATCCCATCTGTTGTTGTTGGCGTCTCGACTGACTTTGATCCGCTTGCAGGCGAGGGCCCTTTGGAGGTGACCCGAAGAACATCACCGATATGGTGACGGAGGATGCTTATAGGCTGGCATTGTGGAGGATGCTGAAATGGGTGGAGAAGAACATGGATCCTCGCAGCACCAGAGTGTTCTTCACAAGCATGTCGCCTTCTCACCACAGGTCGTACAATGACAATATATATATATATGCTCTGCCATTTGGATGCACAACAACTGAGATGGGATGGATGGTTTGCAGTAGCGAAGAGTGGGGAGGTGAACCCCAAGGGAACTGCTACAACGAGACGACTCCCATCGAGGACGCTACGTACTGGGGAACGAGCACGAGCAAGAGCATGATGCAGGTGATCGGAGAGGTGTTCGACGCTACCAAAGTGCCAATAACTCTGCTCAACATTACTCAACTGTCGGAGTACCGGAAAGATGCACACACCCAGATATACAAGAAGCAGTGGAGCCCGTTGACGCCGGAGCAGCTGGCTAACCCCAGAAGCTACGCAGACTGCATCCATTGGTGCTTGCCCGGCCTGCAAGATACATGGAATGAGCTCCTGTACGCTAAACTCTTCTTTCCTTGAGGAGAGGTCCCAACTAAAAAGCACAAAAAGTTCACCAATGGATTCTCTGACATTTTTTTGTCGTCATTAACATCCTCTTCTCTCTCTTACATATTATTTTTTGAGTTTATAATAGCCTTGTGATCTGCTGTTCTCACGTAAACTAAGAACCAGTAGGAAGTGTGCTTATCTGAGCTACAACAGCACTGGAATTTTCAGATCCCACGACAAAGAATCATCTCCAATCTTTCTTTCTGATCCAATAAATCTCTGGGCTTTGTCTCTACCTAATTAACCAGAGAGAGAGATTAAAGAAGATGAATAGGAGGACATCCTCGGCGAGAAGATGTCAAGGGAGGAGGGAACAACACAAGTGGCCGCAAGGATTAGCGCGTCCATCGTCACGCCCTTATATTCTATCACGAGCCAACAGCACTTTGTTGACTCACGGGAATGTTGATCTACAACCCCATCTCATCTCGATGGGGGCATGCAGATCTCTTTCTCGGCAACTTGGCATTTATCAACTCCCGGGAGATCAGACACAAGATATGGCAGAATATAATAGTGACGTGGGAAGTAGAGACAAAAGGCAGTGCCGTACGTGCACTTTGCTGTATCCAACAAGTTTTCCCTACGGATCTCTCCTGGTGAGGGGTTGTTCTATTTACTCAACTCGTACGTGGTGGATGTGGGAGAGAACGAGTTGACCGTCTCAGAATCCCTGGATCTCTATCTTTTACGACTGCCAGTCGTCGTGGCTCATTAATTCCACTTGCACGCCTAGCTAGCTGTGGTCCTCGAGATCGATCAGTATCCGGGCAGGGCTCGGTCGCCACCTGCTTCGCTGAATGTTGCAATAGAAAAAGGCAAGCTGATGGAAGGCTGTGTCATTAAATACTAGTTGCATCACCTTCGCCACTACAAGAGAGGGTTTGTCCATGTGAATGATCATCGAGGCATTATTCACAGGAAGGGCTCCATTTCACCATTTGAAGTCCTTTCTCTCGTGCTACAGAATAGGAATTGCATGATTCCGCCAGCATAAATAATTGCAACGCATGCCGGGAATTGCTGTCCTAACAAAGGAAGCCGAGAACAGGCAGTGCGCCCCCAGATTAGCATAAAGTGAAGGAATAAGCAAGCTTAACAGAGAAGAAAACCATGGTGGTCGGCAGCAGCATTGTGGAATTCTGAGCAAAGGATTGGGAGAAGTGATGGAGAAAGGCAGTTGGCCACGAACGGTAAGCATGAAGCCTCACGCAACTTGCAGCCATCCATTCGCTGCCAACTGAAGACCAACCGACACAGAGAACGGGCAGACAAGAGGAAGACGAGAAGAACCCTTAGAGGAACAAGTGGGAGGGAGGGCTCTACAAAACTATCCATTGGACTGGAGGAGGCCATCCCAACTTGCACTTCTTTATGCCGCTTCTCGACGGCAAATTGGCTTGCAATATGGCACTCGATGATTCCACTCTCTCTCTCTCTCTCTCTCTCTATATATATATATATATATATATATATATATATATATACCCCAACTCAATTGGTCTCAGTTGTTTGTGCAAATTGCGAGACAAGTTGGGAGAGAAGGATCGTGGAATCCTACCCTTTTCGAACGCTACCACACCACATGGTAATTGGCGACAGCGGAAGCGATATACGGGGACAAGTCATCTTCTACCTCGGAAGTCAGACGCCACGCACGCCCACGTGGATCCTCGTGCTCTCCACCTAATCCCGCGATCCTCATCGACCCAATCATCGGTCATTCACGGTTGCCACCAGATCATAGATGTGGCGCTCCTGCCGACGAGGCGTGGAGCCCACCTGCACTCCCCACTGATGGTGAATCCGCGTCGGAGAAGTAGACGAAGAATTCGCATATCAGTGAAAGCGTCGGCAGAGGCTCTATAGAAGACTAATGCAGCTTTGCAAGGGAGCCAGCCATGTGGTGCTGCACCATTCTTTAACCATGCTACAGCAGTGTCCCCATCCCATGTGCTTCGACATCCATTACTCCGAAGCTTACAACCCATTACTTTTGACCAGAGAAGATAGCACAGACTGATCAGGATCACAATGCAGAGGGAGAGAGACTAAGGTAAATAAAGCTAGCTAGCATTCCAAGAAACATCTGTTTTGCTTTCTTGGAGGGTTTATGTATAGACAGAACTACATAGCATTTATCCGCAAGGGTTCATGTGACCGAAACAAAGAAGACAAAACAAGAGATAGGAACGAGTTGGAAGAGTTTCTCTCTTCTTTTCTCTTTCCTCAAAATTTCCCGATGTTGCCGGGCTCAGCAGTTGTTCTGAGATGTCGTCGTCTGCTTCCGAGTGGGCATGCAAGAGGGGTGGTGGCGGTGGAAGCTTAGAAGATGGGCAGCCACAGGGTTGGATTGGGTGGGAAATTACTTGGCCAGGTTCTCGGCTGTGCGCGCCAGGGACTGGAGATTGCACCGGATGATGGTGTCGACGAAGACGCGCGTGTCCTCCCTGGTGTTCCCCGCCGGCACGTCCACCACGTACGACTCCACCACCACCGTGCACCCCTCGGCCTCCGGGTGGAGGGTTGTGACGGAGCGGTAGTTGGCGAGGCGGTGCTCCCCGCCGACCACCCGGAAGCTGAGCACGTGGCGCTCGTCGTCGAGGATCTCGAGGCGCTCCCGGCTGGTCGCCGCCGGCAGGCCGGACACGATGCGGACCTCCCGAAGGGTGCCGACGTCACCGTCGCCGTCGATCACGTGGCAGCTCTTCACGAAGTGCTTGTAGGTCTGCGGCTGGTCGAAGCGGCGCACCACCGACCACACCATGGCCACCGGCGCCGCGACGTGCTGCACCAAGGCCGAGCAGCACTGGTGGGCTTCCACCGCGTGCTCGTGATGTCGCGACACCACGGCGGGGACGCCATGGCCGATGCACCGAACGGGTACGCCTGCGGCCGCCGATGCCCCCGCCCCCAGGACCGGCTTGCCGCCGATGCGGTGGAGAGGAGGGGAAGGCTTGGGGGAGGAGTGGGGCATGGCGACGACGCTCGTGTTGCAGCTGTGCGAGAGGAGCGGAGGGAGAGAGGAGTGGTTCATGTTGGTGGAAGGGAGGGCTAATATAGTAGGGGTGATGAAACACGCAACTTCCAAAGCTCCATCTTAGAAGCTTTACTTTGGGCCATAAAGAAGTTACCATTTGATCGGTACTGTTGTGCATATTGCACTTTGTTTAAGCGGCCTGCGCGACCATTTGGCTCCCGAAGGGGTGGTCTGGTGGGGTCTTCAGGTTCCAGTGGGCTGTGGAGAGGAAAGTTGGACATTGAAAGGTCAATTAAAGCTAGAATAATGTTGTTGGGATACTGCAATAGATAAAAAGATACAGAGAGAGAGAGAGAGAGAGAGAGAGAGAAAAGGAATTCAAAAAGAATTCAGCAAGTTGATGGGGCCGAAATTACCTTCGCACCCTTTCCCTCTCGTCAATTGACTTGACAACAATTCCTTGCATTTAGCTTAATTGTTGGGAAGAAAACTTTGGCAATGACTTGATATAAGCCATTACTGCATAGCCATCACAGGTTGATACTGTGCGAGGAGATTGATGCAAGGCAACTAAGACAAACTCGATGTTAGGAACGTGACGACTGTAAGCAGGAAGAATCTATTGTGCTCGGCTTGGCCAATGCCACATTGTAGAATAATAATGACATACATCGACAGAATTGGTTGTGGCAATAATGAAAACGAAAATTGACGATGTGGTCAACAATAGTCATTCTTTTATGGGCTTCACAACTTAATTCATATACTCTCGTTTCATGACGTTAACGACAGTGACCAAAAATCACTACGAGCTATGCACGGATGATGAAGCCTAAGAGCCTTGTCTATTAAGGCAGAGGTAATGTAATTGCCGGCCGGCCCAACCCGACCCAACCCGACCCAACCCAGCGTTCGCGGGACATGGAGACAGAATACGGCCCATGTACTGGCAGCTCACAAGTCACCTCTGACCTGAAGGGCCCAACCCAAACATAGATTCAAAATGAGTTTCTAATATTGGCACCCAATATACACCCCCAAAAAATATTTATTAATTTGAGACTACAGTTGTCACTAATGATTACAATAACCTAATTTATTTTTTTTCTCAGGATAAATGTATATATTTTATTCGCATTAGCTTAGGCCATGACTCTTATCAAAGGTCCAAACGGAAAAAGATATTTCCGAACAACCTTGGTGGAATGCTGGAGAGGATATAGATTCGGTGGAGTTATGGAACCGATAACAGTGTTAAATATCTGTGTTACTGGAGACGACAGATAGGTACTTAACCTAAACTCAGAGTGAGAACATATGATTTGTATCGAGAAACTTGTGATTATCAAATTTTCATTAAGACGAAGAGTATTTATACAAATTTTGAGGAAGAGATTTTCCTCACTTAAATGATGCAATCGGAGCAATTGTTCAAATCTTTAATTGATCATCAAATCATAGATTGATTGAGGATATAAGAAATATAAGAATGTCATTTCATATGTGCCTCTATCATGCCTCCTTAATATTAAGCTTCTATTAAGTATGTACGTGAGAAGCACGTGATTGATGTTTGACAACTTGATCTCTAACGAGGTAAAAATCTATGGTAATATTTTTTATGCGTAAGTGGAATACTGGATTGACACATAGATAGGTAATACTAACATTATCACAATATATTATAAAAGTGAATTGAGAAGTGATATCAAGTTCCTATAGTAGATTGGTGACCCAGTTGAATTATGCAATAGCGATAGTGATAGCTTGGTATTTAGCTTCCGTGATGGATCGTGCGATTGTTTTCTATTTCTTAAAATTCTAACTTTATATTATCAATGTTACCTGTCCAATCAACATCGATGAATGCATGAAAATGAAGTGATAAGTACTTACAAAGACCAAGTCCATGATTGAGAATTCCTTTTAGATAATGTATGACTTGTTTTACTACATATTAATATGTAGTGGAGAGCCAATGCATAAATTATGATAATATGTTGATTGCTAATTAGATGTATAGACATGTGAGAGATAAGTAGAGCCAAGTACTTGTCCGTATGTATGAGATCTATAGTAGGAGTATCATTATATAACTTGAGTAATTCAATAGTATAGAATGATTGCCTTTGATAGTAGATCTTAAATGTATTTTGAGATATGAAAAGTCCAAGATGTAAACGGTGCTTCCACTCCCAAAAAATAGCTTAAGATTTCAAAATCTTTAATAGAGAATCGATTTACCAATTGCTTAATCTTCATGAGATTATTGCCTATAATGATAATGTCATTCACATGTACTAGGAGATATATGATACTTTTCTTTTGTTGTCATAGAAATAACAAAATGTGAGACTTAGAGTTTGAAGTCAATTGATATAAAAAACAAACTAAATTCAGTATACCAAGCTCTTGGAGCATGGAGGCTTGATGAGAAAAAGTGAAACCAATTCAACTATATATTGATACTTTGTTTAATAGAGCCAACTAGTTGAGATGTGTTTCACGATAATTTAAGATGTTGTATACGATAGGATGAGAGGTAAGTTTTTAAGGCTCACTATTCACCTCCTCCATGAAAGTAAATTATTTTAATGATATACTAAAAAAAGTTCTCGATCATCTTTCTAAAGTTAGCAATGACTGTAACTTTAGATTTATATTTGAGAGGGATAACATTGTATATTTAGTAAAATAATCTATGAAAATGACATAAAATATAAATTTGTTAAAATAAGTGATTAGGTTAGGTCCCCAAACATCGATATAAATAATTTTAAATGATTTGAAGTAGCATATGGAACACGTTCTAAAAATAGTTTATGACTTTTATTATTAAGGTAAACATCATAATAAATTTTAACTTTACTTGATTTGAAAGTTGAAAGAGAGTAACAAAAAAAATAGCTATTATTGAATGGAGGATGATGAATGACCAAGGTGACGATGTCATACATCAATTAGAGCAGCAATTGAAGTAAGAGTGATTGGCTAGGTGATATATGAAGCTGATGACCACTCATATATGCTATCTTTATTTTGGACTCAAACCAAAGATATCTCCGTACTCAAATCATTTATAAGAAATGAGTCAAAAAAGATTTCAATAGAGATATTATTTTATTTACAAAATTAAAAAATATAAATAAAATTCATTTTGATACGAGGTGTACATAAAACATCATCGAGTGAAAATATTGGTGTTTGAATTAAGTGTTGTGAAACCTGTGTGAGTAATAAGAATTTCATTATCATTACCAATAATGACGTCTTAAGTTTCTTCATAATCATTATGGATGGATAACTTTTGTAGATCAAAATAATATGACAAGAAGCACCAGAGTCAACAATCCAATTAGTTGGATAAACAATCAAAGTAGTCATAGAGTTGATAGTGCAATAGAGAATGGCTCTACGTGTACGGACAAGAGGTATCTTCTTCAATCATTCGATAAAGTTATTATTTCTTTGATTGCTTTTTCTATTGAATTTTTAATTGAATTGAGCTATAATAGTTGATCATGTCATCCTCTCTTATACTTTTAAATATGTTTCATGATTAATATACTTATCATATAGTTCTTCAAATGATGAATCTTGTGCCCGCATTGCTACCATCGGTTCTTTATATTTGTCTCTTAGGCTATTGAGAGTATGAACAATGACTTCTTCATCTCTCATGAAATGAACTATTAAAGACAATCTAATAATAACTTTTATATTTTACATATAATTAGCAATAGTACTTCCCTATTGTATTGTTTTCATCAAAATAAAAGCTATCATCCTCTATAATAAAGGACCAAACAAGATCTCCTGGACACATGAGAAACACACAGAACCATCATCCTCCATTACATTATCAACCTTTCAATCATAATAATAACTTCAATCCAAATAATTTAAAATATAACTTATACTATAATTATTAATAATTCTAGCATCTCAACAAAAACAATTAACAAAAAGTCATCTGTTAGCTCTATAACAAAACTAGACACACAACAAAAGTTTGTCGGTCTTAACCAAGCCTACTACTACACTCAATTGGCTTCAAACAAATATCATGATTACTTTCATTGCTCATTCATTGATTATTAACTCTAATGCTTCTCATCATATTACTTATAATCTACATAACTTATCTATATTAAAAAAAATCTTATTTATGTTTCTCAATTCAGTAAACAAAATAACATATTTATTTAGTTCTTTCTCGTTTATTGTAAATGATTTAAGCACGAAAGCATCCAAGCATCTACAATTTGGTCCGAGGCCAGAATAAGGACAATATCTACAAGTAGTTTCAGCTTCATAAATCACCTAATCAACCGTTTTTACTTCTATTGCTGCTCCAATAAATATGAAATCATCACGATGTTTACTCATTTTAGAAAGATGATCGAGAACTTTTTTCAATCTACCATTAAAATAATTTACTCTGATAGAGGAAGTGAATACCAAGCCCAAAAAACTTTTATCTCGATATACAATATCTCAAGTCACTATCACACAAACCTCAACTAGTTGGTCTCACCCTTTTACATCAAGAATGTCACCCAGTTTTTTATTAACAAATTTTCAAACTACAATCTATCACAGTAATCGTATGCTCTCCCCGATCTAAAGCTAAAATCGACCGTTTCCAAATCTTGATCACCCTTGGGAATGAGCAAACACAATTAAGTGCATTAAAGAAATCTCGAATGTTTCAACGATAGAGTACTCTATATTAAGAAATTAACATCTTCTGAGGCCGAATATCACGCTAGCATAGCTTTGTTAGTGCCTTGACGAAGACGTAATGATATTGATTAGGAAGCCTGAAGCAACCGTGTCGAGATAGTGATGTTTGTACAAATAAGTCAATATAAACATACATCGACATCCTTCCCTCCTTAGAAATTGAAGCACACTACTTGGACTTGGCACGTGATACCTTAGTAAGCCAGGACTAGTGTGAGATTTAAGATGAGCATGTGATACCTCTTAACCTATGTTCCAAGGCCTAGTTCCTTCTCCAAAAGAATTTGTCTATAGAAAATATATTGCAAAATTTGTTTTATATGAGAACGGCCTTCTCTCTCTCTCTCTCTCACTTTTTTTTTTTTGGCTTCCTTTTATAGTTAATACAACGAGGGAAATACAATGAAAAAAAATGCTAGGTTTGAGTTATGTATATTTCTAGACAATCTGTGACTGAATACCATGATCTTTGATCACGAAACCTTGTGATTAATGGGGATAACGTATGGAAGTCGCCATCAGTGGCATCACATCCGAGATCACCTCTCACCAGCAGGCTCTCATAAATGAGTCATGTGGGCGTGACAAGACTCGCCATTTACGTGCGGATCATGTCGCGGCCAACCAGGGAGACCCTAACCCGAGGAAGAAAAAAGAGGGCTACGTATTTGCCTGTCAATTAATTAGGAGTACCCTCGAGAATTCCATCAAAGAAAAAGATCTAAGAGCTACTTAGGCACTCACCGGTCACATGGAAAGAGCGTTACGCTCGAAGCTTGTTTAACTACGGCAAACAGAGAGGAGAGGACACTACCAAAATAATTAACATTATATAAGAGCAACATAAACATTAAAAAAAATTACAACAGAGACAGGTAAATATATTTCTGTTTCAAAAACATTATATGATAGACACCCAAAAAACACCGTGTCATAATCCCTAAAAGCAATAATTGCTGACAGCTTTCGACTTCTAGAAGCAATGAAGTAATCATGAAATGCTAAACAAATTAAATTTCCGTATCATATTGTGTAATTTTATGTATGATTTTTACACGAATCCTAACAATCCGTGTACACAAGAGACGACCCAAAGAAATTTGTGGAGTAGACCACAGACATTAATCCAGGATTCATGTTACTTGCTTATTAGGTTAGACACAGTCCTTCCGGTCAAAAACGCTAAAGCCCATGCTGCAGGCTCAGGTGAAATGTTTTTTATAGTTACAGTTGAGGCTGATGAGAGTACTCCCAACAATAATGAAAGGTTGGATCAGATCGCGCTCGTCAATTTTAGCAAGAGCTGCACATATAGTTCGGTTGGCAGCTCTCGTCAGATCAAAAGGAGAAACTCGTTAAGATTCTCATCGAGTAAAGTGTTGCTTCCTCTTTACACAATAACAAAACAAAGGATATATAGTTTCCTATAGTCCATTGGTTGTAACAAACCCTTAACACTAATGCGGAGAAAAATAGCTCAGATTGCCTTAATCTCTCATTTTAGAAGAAGAAATAGGTTCTTCCTCGTCAATTTTTAACTTAATAGGTGAGATACTAGATCGGAAAGAAGATATGACAAGGACAGGCAATATATTGATCATATCTTTGCATTTACATGGGGACCCAAAGTAATTAAGATGGTTCTTGTCTGTCGGTTCCAGTCCGAGAGCTTGACCAATGTTCATAGAGAGGTTCGATGGTCAGTATTCTAGACATTGACCAATGTTAGTTGTGGATGATACAGAAACAAACATTGATCAATTAATGAGGCGTATATATTCTTAATTCCAGCTAAAAAACATACGGGCAGTTCTTCATCTCAACCAACACATCTTGAGCGTTAAAAAGAAAAATAGTATACAGATGGGAAAGATACTAATATCCAGATGTGAGCTACCTATAACGAAGATATGACCTCATCAACGTCATTCCAGTACCACTGGACCATCGATCAACTACCTACTATCATACAGCCCAAAGTCTAGTTCCACCTTTCCCGGACATTAATACAGTGAAGCTATCTGGTGAAATGCCTAGAGCCGATGGCCTTGCGTTCCTGTACAGTCCAAGAATAAAACTCACAGAGGTGAAGAGAAAAACTATTGTCTACTGTCAGAAATCAGTCTGCAGCAGAGAGAAATCATTGGTGAAACTGTATTTTCCACCAACTCGACCAATGCCCCAGATGATACCACAACGTTTCAGTGCATTTAAATCACATACAGAGGTTGGTAAAAGCAGTCCTTTTTCCCAAGGCATATGTAGTACCACCTTGCATAGGGAGCGGGTTAACGTAGTCGGCAGGACTGGTCCAGCTGGAGAAAATTACATCTCCTAATAGAATAGAGGACAAAGCCTTCCCTCCCACCTCCCCCCCTCCCCCCCTCCCCCAACCTCTCTATATCTGTCCATCGTACACCCTTTTCTACTTTTTTTTTTATTAAGTCAAGGCTTTTGTTATTTGAAAAGTCAAGGGTTTTCGCCCTCCGAGAATCCAGACCTGTGACTCTTGTCTTCACCTCCTAAATCCACACATACAACCCACCATCCATCCAAGAGCCCAACTATAAATAAGACCCAGTGCACCGAAGGTTTCCTCATCTCATCTCATCTATCCATTTGTTTAGGCAACTCTCTATCTTCTTCTACTTCCTCTCCTCCTTGAAGATGTTTCTTCCTGGCCTTTCTTTTGTAACACAGACTTTTCTTCCCTTTCTTCATAACTAGCTAGTATGGGCTACTACAATAATTTGTAGTTTTGGCACACCAGCATGGCAAAAGTATGGAAGAATCTGTAAAGCTCAGGAGGGATAGCGCCATGGGTAAGTAGGAACTTGTGTTCTGTTTGTCTAGAGGCGCTATCTATCCTGAGTTTCATGGGTTCTTCCTACTCCACGAGGAAACTGATGGATGGGTAATATTCTCGTTCTGTTTTTCTACTTTATATCTGCCAGTCGAAGTTGATTTGATCTCACATCACTGGTAGCAGAGGCATACATCATTATCTCTGTAGAACTCTCCTAACACCTCTTTCCAACTTCCAATAAGCAAAACAGTTGCACCATTCCGAAGCATATACTTGTGACTCGTTTCTTTTTGAAGCATGTCAGTGGCTCTCACTTATTTTATCATGGCAAGTTTACCACCTACTAACGACTTTATCAGTCTATTTTCATACAAATGAAAGGAATATCTTATATATACAACACCTCTCTCTCTCCCTTAGTTTGAATCATCCAGTTCTACAGTGTAATTACATATCCGGTACTTGTAGCTTTTCTTAATGTAACAATCTGCTTTATGTCTACAAAGGAAAGCCAACTTGGGTTTTCTTTCCGTTGGTTGCTTCTAAATCACTACAAGATAGAGTAAAAAGACGGGAAAATACCAAAAAGGATGAGTCAGGCTGGTCGCAAGGTGACCAGCAAGTCACGGCGCTGAGGTTACTTTTCACCTTAAAATATGATTTAGATGTTTCTAGCACTCGAGAAATTCCACAGATTTTGAGGAACAATTTCGAGATCATGCCATATTCCGATTGAAAATTTTTTATGCACCCTATCGAGACCATAAGGCCTTTACAGCACACGATGATCGGCCAGATGTTTTAAATCTTGTTCATGCAAAAATCTGAAAATTGCATTCCTTTCCTTGTCAAGTATATAATTACTTGTACTCCATCATGTTTTATGCAAAAATTTATGACATTTCAATTTACGTATGAGTGCATTAAGATCATGCTTCTGCTTTCTACCACCAAGTTCCAGGTCAAAATTACATGGTAGATTTCAAATTTGAAACCATACCATGGTTGATTCTGTTAGTCACGATTCTTGACCAGGTCGGCTGACGAACACCCTTAAGAGTTTGGGTTTGGTTTAGTGATTTTTATTTTATTTTTCAAAATTAGTTCCTTCGAGCTCATGTCCGAAGTCAAACCCTAGACCTATGAACTTGACTGATCAAGGCCTAGTAATAGTTTCAATAAAAAAGATAGGGGAATGCAACTAAGAACTTGAGAGATTATACACACACCTAGAAAATGGAAAACCGATGTAAGACCCATGTTTGGTAAATTCATTGTTTCAAGGAATTCTAAAAAGTAAAAACTTTGGCTTCGAAATTATTAAAGACTTACCCCTCGGTGGCCAATAATCTCTGCTGGATGATCGAATGATTTCTCTCCTTCGACCTGTTGACGATTTAAAAGAAGACAAAGAACATCAAATCGTCAGCAAAATTGGTCCTATTCGTTAAAACAACAAAAACAGAAGTAAACTAAAAAAAGAAAGCAGAAGTAACCCCAAAAGGGGCCCGAGTTAGTCGCCAAAGCTAAAAGAAGAATACCAGTTAAAGGCGTTAGAAAAAAGTTGCGGTACAGAACCAAGCATGGCTCCGCAGGTCACGAGATGCATAAGCTTGAAATCAGTAGCAGCAGAGAAATTGGCAGCCACCTGAACGAAAACAAAGACAGCTGTATTATATCTCCTGCTATTGCCGATATGGCAGTACATCATGTGCATTAACGAACGGCAGTCATTTCACTATCAACACATGGATCCCAATAATAAAGGCAGCATGTAAAAATTTTGTGGTTGAACTGTCACGACGACTGTGAAACTGGAATTAAGCCATCAAGGGAAGGGCAGTAGAATACACGAATCAAAGAAACATACCATTATTATGATTGGAACCACCAAGAATGAAAGGAAAAGAACGATAAGAATGTGGAAATTGTGTTTAGGTGTCCTTTTTATCATAATTTATATAAAATTGTCTTGATAAATAGTTTACAACCTAATTTTCTCAAAATTCAATCAACAGCATATCTCAAGTAAGATGTTACCAAACATTTCTTACCTGAGAGTCCTAACCTCGATAGCAAGAATACCTCCTTTTGTTGTGATCCCTTGTGGGCAAATAGCCCAAGCCAACGTATTCTCATTGAGTCAGGTAAGATCGCTACTTATGTTTCCTTTTTATCATAATTTATATAAAATTGTCTTGATAAATAGTTTACAACCTAACTTTCTCAAAATTCAATCAACAGCATATCTCAAGTAAGAAGTCACCAAACATTTCTTACCTGGGAGTCCTGACCTCGATAGCAAGAATACCTCCTTTTGTTGTGATCCCTTGGTGGGCAAATAGCCCAAGCCAACGTATTCTCATTTAGTCAGGTAAGATCGCTACTTGATGTTGTGATTGCTTCTTTCCTGGAACACAAGAGTAGGCAAGCAGCCCAAAACCTCAGTATTTTCTTACTTTCATAATTCAAGAGATGAACATAAAAAAGGTGCAATATAACATATATGTACATGTAACTAATGAACAGGTCCCAACTCTATATCAGAATCCTTAGAAAAATCAGAACCATTTGTTAGATATATTGTACGAGAAGAAAAGATGGAAGCTAAATATTGAAATAGTCGAGTTATATATGTCAACAACCTAATAGCTAAAATTTTGGATTGACATGGTGTCTGACCTGTTATATATGTTAATCATGATTAGTTAGAATATTCGTTAATATTAATACTCATTAATATTAGATATTTGATTTGAATGAGTTAAAAGTAAAAAAAGTTATAAAAGGATAGTGCTGTTAATGCACTTTGGTCTCAAATGGTCAAAAATCAACAGAGCAATAGGAATCTAGAACTATGGCCACAGTGGATCACCAAGAACCTTCAGGTCCCAGTGGACTAAGCACTAAAGGTCAGTTTGAAGAGTAGTAGTGCCTGAAACTAAAAGAGACAGCAAGACACTAAGAATCTAATCAGTGAAACTAAAAGAGTAGGATTTAATTCTCAAAGATAAAACTGATAAAAAATCACTGAATATAGGGTGAAACATGTAAGCTTTGGTCTGTTCTTGCTGAGAATCTCCCCACTGTTTCAGCTGGGTACTGATTTGAACATAAAGAGTTCTATCTGATAGTAACTGCAAACTTGGTTTCTCAAATCAACCGGTTCACTGAAAGTCTTCGAAGCTTGATTTATTAGGCAGCACAGTTTCATCCTAATGACCAAGATGGCATACACCAAAGGAAACTATATATATTTTTAAAGTAATCATCATCATCTTCAAAGTCATCTAGATCATCTCTATTACAAGCGAATGTTTTTCTGTCTCTGAAATCAATTAAAGGGCAAACAGTTTTTATCCTAACAAGATTAGCTTTGAAAAAAAATAATTAAGATTTAGCCCCAATTTCGTGTTATCACACATCAAGAAATTTGGAAACCTAATCTAATTACATTCAAAAAACAACTTCAAGCTTCTAGCATAATCTTTTCCCATCCTTGAGTGCAAATACGAAATACAAACAATATATTAAATTGGAGTATTCAGTGCACATGCTAGTTTGGTCTGCTTATATAGCACTATTAACTCCAGAAGAAAATTCCCTCATAATCTGTATTTATATAGCTTCACATATGATAATTCAATTTATAGTGCAAGTTTCTACTGAAATACTCGCTTTCTCGCAAAATCATAGAGATTTGAGAATATTGAAGCAAATGAACAAATAAAATGCCCAAACTTATGTTTGCAGGAAATGGTTATAGTAAAAAAAAAAAAAAAACATAGAACATAAATAGTTATAAGTATGGTTTACAGTTCAGTTTTGTTTCAAAGATACAACTGTAAAGCATTATTTTCATTTTTTTCTCATACCAAACTATTTCTTAAGGTGCAAGTTCAGTTAGTTTTGGAGGATTTAGACCATGGTCCATGGTATAGTTTGAGGTGCATATGCCATGATTCATGACATTGTTAAGATTGCAGAGCATGTAACAATCACCATAATTCTCTACTTTTTTTCAGTATGGTAGGTAAATCTTGTTTGCAATCTGAGAACCATGATTCTTAATTCTCTTATCTCTTTCATCGGAATCTCCACCCTTCAAACAAATCTAGAGAAACAAGAACATGGAATCAAATAAATCTAGTTTGATATCTGTAAAGTTCAAATCAAACGTGGAAACAAGACCACGCAATTTAATTCATCCGAGAACCCTAGAGAAAAAAGGGATCAGATCATCGCCCTGCCATGACCCTACCATACCCTCACGCACCAAAACGTCTCCAACGATGTCTGATCATCATGTAGACATCGATAACACCACAAGATGGGACACAACTCAAACGCTGAGAACAGGGGCACCGTTGACGTCTCACCTGGCGCTGCAAGGTGTTGCCGCTCCCCGGCGCGTTACAGGAAACGACGGAGCCGGCGACGAGGATCCGGTAGCCAGCGAGAGAATCGCCGTATCGTTGGAGCTCCTACCATCTCGCCATCGAAGGAGATCGCCGAGTATTCAGAAGGATCGAAGAGTGGGAGAGGGAACCGAAAACGATGGGCGGTGGATGCAAAGGGGCGCAGTTATATATATATATATATATATATATATATATATATGGTCCTCCGATTTGGGGGAGCGGCCGTTGCGGATTACGAGTCGGGAAACGCGAATCTTTTGTGCTAAGTTTCGGTATCACAATAATTGATTATTGCAGTTAGAATAAATAAATAAATTAAATTAAAATGAGGTTATATATATATATATATATATATATATTACAGTAAATGATGGTGTATATAACACTTTGATGATCTATCACTTGTGTAACAATTGGATACCTTCGAGCATAGATTTTGGATTTCTCTTTTCCAACTATTAGCATCATGAGAATTCGAAATCAGTTTATGTGAATCTCAAAGGCCAACCCTGCAACGTAGTGTGGTATATTAGTACTGCAAACAATGGCCCCACCATTCCGGCAGCTAAATTATGAATCAGAGCATGTCGATACGTGCTCGAGCCTCAAAAGATTCCTTTTCGACCAACTCTCGAGTCTCAAAAGATTCGCCTTTATCGACTTATATAAGTCAGCTGTCATCATAACCCTGTGGGTTTGGTCAACAGGTGCGGACACACACGTAAGCTATTCTGGTGGTCGTATCACTGTACTGCGCGACGCCCTGCACGAGGAAGGCCGATGAATTGTTGATTCGCCATGGACCCATTCAAATAAGGTAGCCGTTGTGGACATGGTGGGATCTCCCTCTGGCCGATGATCGCCCGCCCTCAATAATAGCTCTCCCAGAATCCTAGTCGCCGACACCCCATCGCTCTACGGCCCCAAAAGAGAACAGAAAGGAAAAGCAAACTAGCCGTTAGCCTCGAGAAATAATACCATCCTATATTCCAAGCAAGATATCTCTCAGTTCCCTGCCCAATTCCCAGCCTCCTCCTCCTCCGTTCTCTCTCGTTCGGGGGTCTGTCTTCCTACTCCCATCCAACTTGCATGCGAATGAAGAGGAGGATCGGAGGATGCCAGCACACAATGCAAGAGCATATGGAGATGTGCGAGTCCGAGAGAGCCCCATCTCGGCAATCTGCAACCGGGGGTAGTCTCCTCCTGCTTCTGCCGCTTCACATCGTGATGTTGTCGCTGCTGGCTCATGCGAGCTCAGCTTCGAGCCAGTCCTGGGACGGGATAATCATCAGCCAGGCCGACTACCAAGGCCTCCAGGCGCTCAAGCACGCCCTGGACGACCCCCGGGGGCTCCTCCGCGGCTGGAACGACACCGGCCTCGACGCTTGCTCCGGCGCCTGGGTCGGGATCAAGTGCGTCAAGGGCAAGGTCATCGCCATCCAGCTCCCGTGGCGGGGCCTCGGCGGGCGAATCACCGAGAAGATCAGCCAGCTCGCCGCCTTGCGCAAGCTGAGCCTCCACGACAACTCCATCGGCGGTCAGATCCCTTCGGCCATTGGCTTCTTACCTCAACTCAGAGGCCTCTACCTCTTCAACAATCGCTTCTCGGGTGCCATCCCGCCATCCATCGGCAACTGCCCCATCCTCCGGACCATCGATCTCAGCAACAACTCGTTTGCGGGTAGCATTCCTTCTTCCATTGCAAACGCTACTAAGCTGTATAGGCTTAACCTTAGCCATAACAATCTCTCCGGTGCCATCCCCCGTAGCATTACCCGCTCCGCCTCGCTTACCTTTTTCTCCCTTCAGCACAACAATGTCTCCGGACCCATTCCCGACACATGGGCCATCGGAGGTGGTAGCAGCCAAGTCTACCAATTACAGACCTTAAATCTCGACTACAACTCCATCAGCGGGAATCTTCCGCCATCTCTCAGTGGACTACAAATGCTCAAAGAGATCACACTTAGCAACAATAGGCTTAACGGAAGCATACCCGAAGAGATCGGTAAACTGTCGCTGCTCCAAACGTTAGATCTTTCACATAACGATTTAGGAGGGAGCCTTCCTGTTACCATCTGCAACTTGTCGTCCTTGGTTGAATTAAGCCTGGAGGGCAACAAAATCGACGGCCACATCCCCGACAACATCGATGGACTCAAGAATCTGTCGATGCTGTCGCTTAAGAGGAACCAGTTAAGTGGCGCGATACCGGCGACACTAGGAAACATCTCTGGTCTATCGCAGCTAGACCTGTCGGAGAACAACCTCACCGGAGAGATACCGGCCACTTTGGTGCACCTGACTGGTCTGACTTCGTTCGATGTGTCCGACAACAACTTATCAGGTCGAGTGCCACTTCTCCTCTCCCACAAGTTTAATTCGAGCTCCTTCATGGGAAACATTCAGCTGTGTGGGTACAGCATTACCGTCCCTTGTCCTTCTTCCCCTGCCCCGACTCTGTCTCCTCCGTTGATCCCTACAAGGCGACGTCATGCTAAACTGAGCACCAAGGCGATCGTTCTCATAGTTGCAGGGGCAGTGCTGGCGGTGCTGCTTTTTGTGCTCTGCTGTGTTCTGCTCTGCTGCCTGATGAGGAAAAGGAGTTCCTTGGGGAAGAAGACTGATGGCGGCGCTTCTGCCACCGGAAGAGAGGAAAAGCCCGGGCCTGCCACGGGAGCTGAAGCGGAGTCCGGCGGGGAGGCCGGGGGAAAGCTGGTACACTTCGAGGGACCGTTGGCATTCGCCGCCGATGACCTCCTGTGTGCGACGGCGGAGATCATGGGGAAGAGCACGTACGGGACCGTGTACAAGGCCACACTGGAGGACGGGAACCAAGTTGCAGTGAAGAGACTGAGAGAGAAGATCACCAAGAGCCAAAAGGAATTCGAGACGGAGGCGTGTGAGCTTGGCAGAATCCGGCATCACAATCTATTGGCGCTGCGAGCTTACTATTTAGGCCCCAAAGGAGAGAAGCTTCTGGTCTTTGATTTCATGCCCAAGGGAAACCTTGCAGCTTTTCTACATGGTAACTTCCGCAGAGTCCCTCGCATCCACACCCACAGCTTCCTTCTCATTGATGAACAGCAATACGATTCTATAACTTCTTCTTGTCTGCTGACACAGCTCGGGGACCTGAGACGCCGATAGATTGGGCGACAAGGATGAACATAGCCAAGGGGGTAACTCGGGGCCTACTCTACCTTCACAACGAAGTGAACATGATCCATGGCAACCTGACAAGCAGCAACGTTCTGCTTGACGACGACGACAACGCTAAGATATCTGATTTCGGCCTCTCGTCCTTGATGACTAGTGCTGCCAGCTCCAATGTGATTGCCACCGCAGGCGCGCTCGGCTACCGAGCCCCGGAGCTGTCCAAGCTCAAGAAGGCCAATACCAAGACCGACGTCTACAGCCTCGGCGTCGTCATGCTCGAGCTCCTCACGGGTAAATCGCCTGCGGACTTGATGAACGGCATGGACTTGCCGCACTGGGTGGCCTCGATAGTCAAAGAGGAGTGGACCAATGAGGTGTTCGACCTGGAACTGATGAGGGATGCGGCGGGGACGGCGGCCGGGGATGAGCTACTGAACACCTTGAAGTTGGCCCTGCACTGCGTCGACCCGGCGCCGACGGCCAGGCCGGAGGTTCAGCAAATCCTGCAGCAACTGGATGAGATCAGACCGGACGCTGCCGGCGCTACAGGATCCAGCGAGGATGGTGGCTCCATTGCCGCTGCATCCGCAAGCAATGATTAGCTCAGTAGGATCTTTTGAATTCATTGATTCGTTTGAGCTTTAGGTCACGATAGCAGCAGCTGTGTCATGTAAATACAAATCTTAAGTAGGTCATGGTCATCGTTAATTTTCAGTCACTCAAGGCCAAAACTTGAGCCAGTCTTTTCCTGCTGCATGGGAGATCTTTTCTCTAAAAGATCTCTAAAGAAAGCCCTTTGTTAGGCTATGCAATTAGTTTTCTAGTTCACCAGTGAACTTCTTCTACGTGTTCGAATGACAGAAATTTGACATCGACAATGTGAATTGCACCCAACTCTATTAACAGAGATATTGAATTCATTGAAGATGACATCTGCAGCAAGCAGACAGCTATCAGAGGCCAAAGGAGGAACTTAAATATACACAAACAGGTAACCAGTATACAAAACACATTACTGATACGAGTTACATTTAAGGAGCAAAAACTCGACACAATGTCATATGGTCTAAGATAGAAGATGAAGAAATGATTATAATAAAGGACTAACATTCGTAGTAAACTACTACTACTATATTGTGATAAAAGATCTACACATTCGTAGTAAAGTAAACTACAATTATATTCGAGAACTGAGAATGTAAATCGCAAGGTACCTTTTGGGACAATAATGTGATCTTAGGATGTCCATGTGATAAATGACCCTATGAAATAGTCAAGTCAATGACATCCAAAATATTTAGTAAGTGTATGTCGGGTCAATGATATCTAGGAAATACTGGTATGAAAATTATTAATCCATAGAGTTATGCAATTTAACCCACTCGAGAGCTGCAGGTCACTTTGATGCCAATCCTTCTTTAAATATTCCTATAGCATCTGCAGCATACTGGTCTGCACCAATTGTAGCTCCATCTCCAGATCCACTTGGTTCATTGCCTGAGACAGACAAAAAATCCGAACCTTCATCCCTACTAGAGTAAAATCTTGAAGCAAGTTCTGTGCCGATCGATGAAGATAGACTATTCAGTGGTTGTTAAGTTCCAAATGATGATGTTAACAAGTGTTGACATCTCTTTCAACATTTCAAGCATTAAGCAATGATGTGAACAAGTTCCAGTCTTTTTAGAACCTGCAATTCTTGATCAAGGTGGACTTACCAAGCTCCCAACAACAGATGGTGCAACCCTTATTGTTTGTATACCAATGAGAGAAGTGGCATTGGTGTTGTTCCAAGGTCCTAGTGAACCATCACTCAGAGGAACTTTTCCATCGAGTGCATTCAACCCAAAAATAATGTGTGAGCAAAAGATAGGATGAAGTTTCTGAGTGGTCTCAGAGAGAAATTATTCATCAACAGTAAAATTTGAACTTGCTAGAGAAGATTTCTACCCTGCTGTCTTGAAGAACTCATTCAGCTCAACCATCTGGGCATGGGTAAGCATCCTTGAGAGAAACCAAACATCTCAGAAGTATTCTTGAGGAATGACACACATGATTGCTGAGGATTTCCTGTGTTGAATATGACCTTCTCTTGCAAGGAACCCCCGATGCGAAGTTTCAGCAGAGAAAATGCTGTAAAAGAGGAAGAAGATGATACCAAAACAGGGGAAAAGAACATTAGAATCATTCATCCTCAAGAAGGCAGTTATTCTTCACAAGTAAAAAGGTTCACCTTTTACTGCACTCAACAAGATGGGGTTGCAAAGATTCTGCATGGAGGAAAAGATGAAACACCTCTGTCAATCATGATGTATGAATCAATGCTGTATTCAACTTTAGGTATCAAATCAAACTAAGACAAATGAACAGAGTTTCCTTGTGATCGATCCACAAATATTTAGATCATTTTCATCTAACAAAGACTCAAGACTGCTAATTATTCATGTTTTTTGTCATATCTACAGTTAACAATCGATCGAGTTTCCTTGTGAATCATTTTTTGGCTTAAAGACAATATCATTTTTTGTCATCTAACAAAGATTTAAGACTGCTAATTATCCACAGTTTTTCCATTGCCACTCATTGGTTCAGACATGTTTCTAATAAAGTAATATGACAGATTTCTAACAGGCTTGTTGTCTGAACCCTAATGTAACAGCAGAGTTACAAAAAAAAAACAGATCCAAACTTTAGATAAGAAATGTAAGAAATATTTGTGAAGGTCAAGAGATATAAAGCAAGAATATACAATTCACGGCCCCCCTATTTGTTAAACCCTTGAGGAAATCCCTCAAAATGATCATGTACTCTACCACCAATATCCTCAAAGCCTCAATCCACTGCATGATCACATGCATGTCCCATAGTCACATTTCATGGTTGACACAGTCCAGATCCGAAGGTAGTCAAAACCTCACCAGATAGAGCATGGAACCCAACCCCCAGCAGCATGATCCATAGTCACATTTCTTAGGTGGCCACCGATCTAGAGTAGCACAGCACACACAAAAGCCTCATCTCTCACTGCAATGGCTGCCGCACCATCGACAACCACGGCCACCTTGTCTAGTCAACCGCTGGAGTAGGCTGTTACACAACCACAGCTGCCTTGTCAGAGTCGGCCATCGAATAGGTTGTGGTTTTTTTCTGAGAATGTTTGATAAAATAATAAGTGAATTAAATGAAGGAAACCTTAATTGAAGTGAATGGTAAATATTTAACCTTAACAAAAAAAAAAGGCTTTAGTCCTATAGTCTTGCAGCACTACTTTCACAAAGTAACAATAACAATAATAACAAAGTTGTAAATCTCAACTATTTGGGATCAGCTACATAGATCTTTTGTCGCAATTGAGATCTATAAAAAGCCATGTTTATTTAAGTTTAGAATAATTAAATATTTATTGATAGTTTTTATTAAAGTCTTTTTAGGTCTTCTTCGATCTCGTCTCATACCACTAATATTAATCATTTCACATCTTCTAACTATCACATTCGGAGGTCTCCACAGCACATGCCCTTTTTTTTCACAAAGTAGCAACATCAAGAAATAAATGGTATTTAACCCCACATCAGATTTCTTTTTCTTTCCTACAAAAGATAAAATTATAGTGAATAGTGATTTAAAAATTAACGTTAATCAAAATAAAGTTATTGTTAACGATATTCAGATTTACAAAACCCTATGCAATCAAATTTGTCTAACTAATGAAGAACTTGCCAAGGATTAAAGCTGAAATTAGAGACGTTTATTTTATTTAAAATCATGATTAACACAAATCAAGATCTCCAAATGAACTAGAAATGTACGAAACTCCCACGAGGTTAGGATGAATCAACGTACTCAATCTTCCCTCTAACACATGCATAGTAAGGTGTTCATTTGATAAGTAAATTATTAGTAGATCATGCAGGAGAGCCAGCTGTTTCCACTGTGGATATTCTGACACGAAACTCTTAAGAATGACAACAGTCAATTCACCACAATAATTGTCATCTTCAAACATAAGAAAATTTTGTCAGCCTCCTTGCCCACAATGGGTCGATGGACGCTGACCTATATCTACAATTTCAACTAATAACGATAAAGAGAAACTATGATGGGAAAAGCAAAAGAAAGATAAATAACAAGTTGCAATCACTGATCAAATATTGAAACCGATCGAGATTTGAGCAGTGTAAAGAACAAACATCCCCGAGCTTACTCATTAGTTAGATCTTGAACAAGAGACTTCCTTGAGTTGCAAAGAATGGTGCCAACACCAGAAATTCCACAACCATTAGTTTGATAGGTGACGACCCGGACGTATCCTTGAGAGGGTCCCCGATGGTGTCACAAATAACAGCAGCCATGTGAGGAACGGATTCCTTAGGGCCAAGGCTCCTTGCATGGTCTGATGCCCCAGCCTATCAACGCCATATTAGATGAGCAGTTTGAATAATTGCGTGAGGTAGCTACAGATTCTGATGTGGAACTATGAGCAATTTAAGACACCTAACCTCATGTAAACCAAGTTTAAACAAGCACAATTTTGTTATCTTGAAATTTACCATTCTTTTGAATAGGCAAGGGTCATAAATGTACGGAAGAAACAGGCCTCAGGAGCACAGTAGCATGTAAAGAAAACATGAAAAAGGAAGAGTAGCTTTACCTCGATGTACTTGGCATTGTCCCATGCACCACCAGTATTAGATGAGGATCAGATAACAATCTGTGACAAAGAACGACCATTACCTTGAGTCACAAATTCTGTTGGTGACATCAGCAAGCAAATTCTTACTTACCTGAACACCAGAAACAAGAGACCCAGCAAGAACACCAGATAGGGTTTCCATGACACAAAATTCCAATGATCAGGGGTGGAAGCATCACCAGAGCACCTGGATAATCATCTCTTTGATTGAGGCATCAGTGGAAATCTTGACACAGGTGGCATAATCATGTTTAGCAGTACCATCCATAAGCCTCAGTTAGTGCCTTCAGACCTCCTCCACCCTCTTCAGAGCTGCACTGCCGACACTCTTCATGGTCATGGCTGAGAACCAGTAAGGAAGCATCGCACCAACAATCAACCCAATGAACACCTTTGGTGTCAGACATCCACAGTGGAAATAGCTGCTTGACTGCGAGAGAGACCAAGGCAGCTGAATCAATTGCAAAGCCCTGGGAAAAGACATAAAAATATGAATGAAAATTACAAACAAGACTCAAGATGAATGAAAACATAGAGAACAGCAGTAACAATCCGAGTATAATCTTAATAGCAAGCAATAATGACAATCAAACAATTGCATTTGCAACAACACAACTTTTGTGACATGCAACCAATAGATAAAGCTAGAATATCAACAGAAAAAGTACAAGCACCATCCCTGGAACAGATGACCTCTTCTAAATATAGATTGACTTTTGGCAAATAGCCTTACTTTAAATTTTGGAAAAGTGGCTTCTTCTGAAAATATTTTCCCAATTAGCGTTCTACATGGCAAAAAAGCTAATACAAAAAGCACTGAAACTTGTGGGTAGCAGTTTTACCAAAGCTACTATCTGCATAAGCAGTTACAAAAAAACAAAAAAAATCTAAAATATAGATGCAAACATCATATTCAAACCAGATAGCATGAATGTGCACCAACCCATCTAAAATAAAATAAATCTACATCATACCAAGGTTGTTCTTGTCACTAGCACCTAGGCACAGGTTACCTCCCCAAGCTTCAAGCAGATCTAACACAGTTAATTGAATGCAGAAAACTACTTGAGCAATAATATTATGATACCCTTCCTAGGGCTGCGGTGGTGTTGCCTGCAGTATCAAGTGTATCTGTTATCTCCTGAAACCTGTGGCTCGTTCCATCCATCTGAGCAATGCTTCCAGCAATATTGTCACTGGTGGGCCCATAGGCATCAATGGCCGGACCAGTAGCAATACTGCTCAGCATGCCTAAAGCAGCAACAGCAATACCATAGATGGCAGCAAGACTAAATCTAACAAATATACTGACAGCAGTGGAAAAAATTGGGATAATGACAGACTTGTATCCTAAAGCCAGTCCAAAAATGACACTAGTAGTGGCTCCAGTCCGGCAAGAATCAGCGCCATCTTGTACAGTACTGAGAAATAAGTAGTAAGGAAAGGACACAATATATAAAAACCAGATCATGGTAGCTCATGTTAAGCAGAATAGAAAAACCAATTTCTTACCCATATGCATTTCTTGTATAGTATTCGGTAACAAACCCAATAACGAAGTCAGCCCATAATCCAATTGCAACACATAAAATAACTCCCTAAACTACTCTGACGATTAGATTAAAAACTTGCCATTTACTGAAATAAAAGGAACATGATACTAACCAGCTTTTGGCCTGCTTCTGGTCACCCCAAAACTGAAAATTGTGAATGTCAAAGGGAGAGCAATCCAACTGATAATTGCAATACCAACCGTCGGTTGCAAAGAGAGTAGTTACTAAACAAACTACGATGCCCATGGAGCTAATAAGCAAAGTATAGCACATTGCAGGAAAATCATGGTTGACTCCAAATGAAGAGATAGAGGCAACAACAAGGGCAGCACATGACGATTCAGCATATGATCCAAAAAGATCAGATCTCATCTCACCAATATCCCCAACATTCTCTACAACATTATAAGCAATCCCCTGTAAGATATATCTAGAAGTTGAAATAGGTAGAGAAGACGTTTACTGTCCTAAAAGGTATTTTTATGAATAGGACATATTAAAAAATAGTTGCTTGATAGTACCTCCTTCAGGTGGAGAAGCAATTTCTTTTTGATGCCTAGAAGAAGTTATTCCAGAACTAAAGTAGTATAATCAGTATCATCTAGTGCCAGACCTCTTTGAGATATTTGATCAGATATTTTAAGAGCCTCTTCTACTCTACCTTCCTTGCAGAATTCAGACATCAATGCATTGAATGTGACAGAATCAGGAACAATACCATTGTTCACCATTTCGTCGAGAAGTTTAGACGCTGCTTCAAGATTCCCCATTTTAGCATACCCTTGTATCAATACTGTATATGTGAACTTGTTTGGGGTTACACCAGCGACACACATTGCCTTGTAGACCTTGATTGCTTCATCCATTTGACCTGACCTACAGTATCCAGCAATAAGTGTAGTATAGGTCACCACATTCAAGCCCAAACCATTCTCCTTCATCAATTCAAAAATTCTTTTAGCCTCCTCTAAATATCCAGTGCAGCAGAAGCCATGCATAAGGGTACTATAAGTCACAAAATTTGGTAATATACCATTACTTTTCATTTCATCGACAAGATTAGAAGCCCCAGTAATATTGCCATTCTTGCAAAACCCACTCACAAGTGAGTTGTAGACAACAACATTTGCCTCTAAACCCCATGTACCCATCTCCTTTAGGAAGCTTTTCGCTTTATCAATTTCCTTAACCTTGCAATAGCCATCGATAATCATACTGCATGTAAAAAGATCCGGAACCAAATCTTCATCCTTTAGTTGATTCAAAAGTCCAATAGCCTCTTCCATTCTACCTAAACGGCATAAACCATGTATTAGAGTGTTCCAGGTAACAATATCTGGTTTAAATCCTCTTTTGATCATGTCATCCCATAGTTTAAACCCCTCGCAGATTTTCCCTTCTTTGCAGCATCCAGATATCAAGATATTATATGTCACTCTATCTGGTGCTATTCCCCTCTCGAGAATTGACTTGAGGAACCCTATTGCTTCCTTGATGTTTCCTGACTCACAAAGCCCATGAATCAATGCATTGGAAGTTGTAATATTCACACCAAATCCTTTCTCCAACATCTTGGACCAAATCTCTATGGCGTTTCGATGCTTCCCTTGCTTACAGAGCTCAACAATCAAAGCCGTCAAAAGAGAGTCATTAGGCCTTAAATTCCTCAGCAGCATCTCTCCAAGTAGCCTCACCGCACAATCTAATCTTTGTTCTTTAGTGACAAGCCAGAAAATAATAGAACCAAACAGCCCAGCATTTGCTTCCATCCCATTTGACAGAATTTCATCAAGAATATACTCAGCCTGCTTCATGTCCCCTGCATCGCACAAGCCTTGTACAATTATATTGTAGGTAACACAGTTCGGTTCTATACCTTTCGCCATCATTTCATCCCTCAACTTTAATGCCTCTGTGGGTCGTCCCATCTTACAGTGCCCATATATCAATGTATTATAGATAACCACACTTGGTGGAATTCCAATCTCTTCCATTTCAGTTAGGACAAGTTCCACATCGCCAAACCTATCCAATTTAACCAAGCCATTGATGAGAATACCAAATGTTACGATGCTTGGATTTATCGAGATTCTAATCATCTTCTCCTTCAATGCAAATGCCTCATTCAACATATTTCTCTTGCAAAGTCCATCAATCAGAGCATTGTAAGTTACAACGCTTGCAGAAATTCCGGACCTCTCCATATCCGAGAACAATGCCATAGCTTCCTCAACATTCCGTCTCTTGCAGAGGGCATCAATCAGTATGGTGTACGAGTAGACGTCAGGAGCAACAAACTGCTGCATTTGATCAAAAACCATGCGAGCATCCTCTAAATTCTTGGATTTCACCAGCGATACCAAAAGAAAATTGCAGGTCTTCAGAGACGGGCAGAGCCCCCGATCGACGAGGATTCTGAAGGCAATTAAGGCGAGCCCTCGGCCACGAAGCTGGGTGCAGCAGAGGTGGACAAGAAGATCGATCGCGGGCGAGTCGCTTGAGGGGACGGTGTCAGCAAGGGCGTGGATGATCTCGGAGAACCAATGATCCGGGTCATCGAGGAAGAGGGGGACGGCGGCGCGGGCGTCGAGGATGCGAAGTAGGAGAACCCGGGCCGCAGATGCGAGGTTGGATCGGAAGAGGGAGTGGAGGATGAGGGCGTAGGCGCGGGGGGTGAAGATGAAGCCACAGTGATCGGTGGCGAAGGAGAAGAAGCGAAGGGCGGGCTCGGGGTGGAGGGAGGAGCGAAGGTCGAGGAGGAGGCGTTCGAGGCGGCGAGGGCAGATGCGAGAGAGGGTCTCGCGGCAGAGGGCAGCATCGAAGGGGGCAGGGGAGAGGAGCAGGGAGAGGCTGCGACGGAGGTCGGCGTCGTCGTCAGCGGCGGCGGCCGCGGAGGAGGAGGAGGAGGAGAAGGAATAGGCACGGATACAGTATAAAGGTTTGGTCCGATCGGGTGGCAGTCTGAGCGGCGGCGGCAATCGCAATCTCAATCTCATTGCGGTCCGATGGCACCGAGAGGAGGGACAGCGAGGTATTTAGAACACGGAAAAGATCGATTCGACGGCTGGGATGAGAGAGGATGGCGTTTCGCGAGACGGATGCTCGTGACACGCCGTTTGGAGAAGTAGCGAAGGAACTCTGTTTTTATCGGTGTTGATCAAGTCCAACACGTACGTGGACGCATCCCGCGAGCCAATTACTAATGAACTCCATGGTTAGAGTTAAATCTCAGATGAATGGGCTGCATTCCGTGCAGAAGGATTACACGGGTTACTACTACATGGATTGTGTCCGAGAAATAAGCCCACTTCTGTTCGTCACAGTGGGATGCAAGCCGCGAGAGAATATGTTTCTCGAGACGGAAAAAAATTAGAGATTATGTTACGTGATTCAGAAATTTAATCATCGATGATTTTATTTTTCTTAATATAAAATTAATTATCATAAATCATATATTTTTTTTATTTAAATTATTAACTTCTTTATTTGTATAGTATGGTTAAAGAAATAATTAAAATTAATATTTTCTAATAAATTATGTTATTTTTAGAAAGTAAATAGTTTAAATTCTATTTTTGTGTGTGAATCATAAAAATAAATATTATAATGATATATATGTTCATGTATAAAAATAAAATATAAATTAAATTATTTTTTACCTTTCGAGGTCGGTAAAAGACTGCTTTTTAAGTATGTGTTAATATTGCATTAGTATTTACATCGAGGTGGACACATCAATATGTGAAAATTATGATTGCTACCCCCTTCGATGAAAGTATTATAAGTTTAGGGTAAAGTTTAATCCCTTAAGCATTTGTTGAAAAGATCAACAAGTAGATATTCCTGCTATATCAAAACATTTTTCTAGCGTCAAAAATATTATGGTAAGATGTCATTAGTCAGCCTAACGTGGTCTAAACCCACGTGCGCAAAGTTGTCAAGATGCTGTGAAAATATCAAACCATCAAGATACCACCTACACAAAGATCAAAATCGAAAGAGATTTCTTAACTCAATCCTTCCTATGCCCAAATTAACAACCCAAAATCTAAAGAGATTTCATCGAAGCAAAGTCGCCCATCAGTCATTATATTTAGTTGGTTTGGTTTATGAAAATACTAAAATTGATCATATGTATAGATTAGGAACGCTAGTTTAAAGATAAAACATTTGACAACAATAAAATATAAACTAATAGTACCACTCTTTCTTATTATCGAGTCTTTCTCTTATCTTCAATGTAACTAACTTTAAGCTACACCACTACGTATAATGCAAGTTCTTCTCTAATCAGAACAAGTTGTTTCCCTGTAGGGCAAAAAGACAGAGATGCTCATCGTCTTCGACAACCAATGGACTGTGTATTATGCTGCTCGTTGGAGACGTCCCAACCCCCAATAAGTCACCTTAGTTTCGTACACTCCCGTCATCGTCTTCTTGCGGTCCCTTCGTACGCAAAAGAAATCCATCCAGGGCTGCGGACACAACAGCGGCGGTGGGTGCCCCGTCGGATAAGGTGGGCCTCTGCGAGATGGACGGCCGATACGGGTCCTTCGCGGACACAGCGACGATGGGTGCCCGTGACCCCGCTTCCCCCTCATGCCACGAAGCTTCCTCAATCGGTCGCCTGCCATATGCGCCCGAGTACCCGAGTTTGGAACCACCGCGTCCAATAATTCCCGGACTCCAAGCTGTCGGAAGACGGCTCACATGTTGTTTGTTGATATGCTTAGCTGAATTACGAACAACGTAAACGAAGCTATTTTGCCGAGTCTTCTATGTATGACAATGTCTGATGGTGCTACCTCTGTCTCATAAAATGTAAGGTTTGAGGCGCGACCAATCATGTCATGATACAACTACAGGACCATCAAAGTGATGTGCAGCTCTCGAGTGGGTTAACCTGCATGACAGTATTTTTTTTTGAATTGAAACGCGTTTTCGATTCGTTTTAATCTGCCTTTTTATTAGTGCTAAAAAATGAGGTTATAATGAGCAATTTGGACAACCAATTCTATAAAGCGGCAACTAAGTTTATTGGAAGTTGCAGCGATAAGCGTCTATATATAACCTATAGCAGTCTCGCAACAAGAAGAGAAGCAGCAGAAGAAGCAGAGAACATGGGGAACAGCCTCAGATGCTGTTTGGCTTGCGTTCTTCCCTGTGGCGCGCTGGACGTCATCCGAATCGTCCATCTCAATGGCCGAGTCGAGGAGTACAGCCGTCAGGTCTCCGCCGGAGAGATCCTGGCAGCCAACCCGAACCACATCATCAGCAAGCCGTGCTCCCAGGGAGTCACCCGCAAGATCTTGATCGTGTCGCCGGACTCGGACCTGAAGCGGGGCCATATCTACTTCTTGATTCCCGAATCAGCATTCCCAGGCCCTGCAGGCAAAAAGAGAAAGAAGAAGAGGCACCAGAAAACTGGTGGCGACGTGGCCGCTAAGGAGTCGGACCATGACAACGACCGCCTCTCAGCGATCGTCTCGGAGAAGAAGGCATGTCACCGCCGCCGGCGGAGTGGGCGGGTTGGCGTATGGAGGCCGCATCTCGAGAGCATATCAGAAGTCTGAGATAAGATTTTTCGCTTCAGCATGTGGGTGGTGGAGCATGGCTTGCTGCTTCTCTCTCTCTCTCTCTCTCTCTCTCTCTCTCTTATTCTTATGTGGATATACACATAATCGTGATCACTTCATCTTTTTCCTCCCACTTGATGGAAACGAGTGGAAGTTGTGAATCCTTTTTGTAATCTATTCTTCAGAGAACAAAAGACACATCAGTTGGAGCGAAATGAAAGAGAAACTTTACTCCCTTTGAACCATAGTATCATAATCTTTATCATTATGTAACAAATACAAGTGTTATGAGATGATGACAAGAGAGGAGATTACTTTTTGGCTTGAGATACATAACACAGCATGAACTCTTTGCTGGGCATGGCGAAGAGGTGGATGGAGAAACAGCAACCACATCATCCTGGAGAGAACCAAGAAACGAATCCATTTTTTATTACAAAATCCGATCTTTTCATATCAGTCACTGCATATATTTTCTTCAGACTAAAATACGTTATTGCATATATTGTCATCAAATTTAATGTTGAAAGCATTGTTGCTATTCTTCTATTCTCTAGGAAAAAGTAGTAAAACAGTTGCTAAAGATAAAGGGAAAAAAAGAAAAAGAATTGTTATCCGAAAGCCATATTTCCACCTTAATTTAGATGTTGCATATCGATGAGACTAACAACAGTTCTCTCACACCTTTAACTGGCCAACAAGGTTGATAAGATTAGCTTTTGTTTGGCCTCAAAGAAGTCTTGATCAAGGTACTGTCCTTTTAGGAATAGATAATGAAGGTATGGTCACCTAGTGGCCCATATATTTTGTTTGATGGCAAGTGGACAGATCTGACCATGTTTAATCTTTCATTAGGAATCCATGGAAGCATGGACTTCTCTCCCAAGTTCAAAGTTATCAAATCTTAATTAATATGGTGACCATGTGCAAGCATCCATGGCTTCTGATATGATATTGGGGATCATCGCAATGCAGCAGATTGCCCTTCAACCACAATGTTAAGAGCCTGCAAAACATAGGCTTCTGCTCGATGATTGCACACAGAGCACCTAATCAGTCTGATGTTAGATTTAGTGTTTAGGTTGCTATCTCTCGACATTTGGCATAGCTTACTTGTTAGAATGATCAATCATATGCAAAAACAAGAAGTGATCATGTTTAATTCCTGAACGGTGTAGGTTTTCCTAGCTCAGAAGCAGGGAGGCAGAATTTAATACCAAGGGTTGTCAGCTACAGCTAATTTGATTCCTTGCCAAGCGATGGTTAATTATAATAACCTTGAGTCAATTTGTTTCTATGGATTCTTTAAAATTTCGATGCCAAAAGGATTGCTTTTGTAGTTAATATTCGGTGCATGTATGCGTAAAAATCACTGTGACAACTAAGAAGTGTATTGATGGTTGTGACATACTTGTTTACTACTTCCAAAACCTATTGTTCCTTCAACTAGCTGTCATGCTACATTCTCACAGTATGGAACTCTTTCTTTAATCATTTATGAGAGTCAGGGTGCTAATGAAATGCCAAAACTAATGCCGACGACACTAAGTACCAAAGAGAGGTTTATTAAAATATGACCGAGCTAGTACCATTTCCGTACCTGATAAAAATGAGTGATTTCTTTATTTGTATTCCCCTTATCAAATTTAGCATACAATGTGCTACAAGAAGGGTGAATAAGTACTTGAATCCCATTGCTCTAAATTTTGGGCACTATAAAACAGTTGAAATTTTTCTTTTTCATGCAAAAGATTCAGTTAAAAAAAAATTGCACTAAGATGAAATGCGCAGCAAATATTTTCTGAGTAGAGCCAGATCAAGTAAGTAGAACAAAAGGTGCAAGAAATCTGAATAGCAGATGATGTACCTGAACACTTTTACCCATCAAAATAAAAGATTGGTGCATGCATGTCCTAATGAGTTGGCTATTTGAGGTGAGGCTCACCGGGTCTTGTTTGGCTCACGAACGAGGAGTCAACGACATGAATCTGTAGTTAAACAAAGAGAACAAATAACACAGAGTTAACCATGGATGTTCATTGTAAGATAACAATGCATGATATGACAATAAGGTAGTTGTACTAATCCTGGTATTTATAAATCAACCGGCTTTGGCTGGCAAGTATGATTTAATCGAACAAAAGGCCTTGCACATGGCACCGATGTCTATGGTTGGGAGTTCAGTAACAGATCATGCAGATGTATAATGTAATGGATAATGGAGATAAAACTGTAAGTCCAACCTCTTGTATGTAACCCACTTACTCCTTGCAGCTGCACAAATTTTACAAGCCAACAGGAGAACTGATGCACCACAATGCAATAGATCATTGCACTCTAGGACATCTCGATAATTATGCAAGCCTTCTTCATTCTTCCGCGTTTAGCACACATGTTGACTCTAGTATATCTCGATAGTTGGGACTTACGGCTTTGTTGTTGTTGTTGTTGTTGTTATCGACCAAAGTGACCAAAAACAAGCAGTCAGTATCTTGACTAAAGTGAAACTATTTGGCCTCAAACACATATCCAACATGCTTCTGAACGTGTCAAGCGCCTCTTCCAGCCTCTCGTCACCATTATACGCACTAATGATCCAGTCCAAGAGACAACATTTTTCACAGGCATATCCTCAAACAACATCTGAGCATGTTTTCACCAAAGAGAACAAACTGGTCTCAACAAACACACACACGTCGGTATTGAAATTTTACGCAGGCCTTGATCCGGAGACATCTTCCAGCGGATAAACGGAGACGAGTCCTCCGAGTAGCGGAAGAGGAGGCGGGCCGTGGGCGTGGGAGTGGGAGGGGTGTCCGGCCTTGAATTGAGAGGCGAGGAGGAGGTAGACGAGGAGTACACCGGACGAGACGAGGTAATTTGAGAGACCGAGAGCCCAATGAAGTTATCGAGGGGCAACCTACTGCGTTGGCCCATCAGTATCATACATCTTCGGGCCGTGCTACAGAAGACGGCAGGGTGATCGGCCCAGCTCTTGTCCAAGTTTAATCTTGACGTAGTTCTGTCGTCCACGGCCTCTCGGGACCCTACGTGAATTCCCCGATCAAGCTGGAGACGACAGTGATAGGCCAAAGTTACTGGGTCCCGCCATGAAGTATACCGAATTTCCTGTAGCAACCCATCCCACGAAGTCCATATAACCATAAACCCTTCCCTCCGCATCACTTTGTTGTTCGGTGGGAGGAAGCCACGCCGCCTCTTTCGATCTCTTCTTTCCCATATCATCGACCGCAACTTCTTCTTCTGGTATGCCTTCTCGGAAAGATCAGTTCTTCCTCGAACAATGCTAAAGAAATCCTATTGTCGGTCCTTGCATGTTAGATAATTGAATCGATCTTGATGCAGAATCAAAAACCTGTCGGAAACTTGTGCTTCTTTACGTGTTGATAAATACGATATAGATCAAACAATTTTGATGTTATCACTGTCTTTTGAATCTTTAATGTCTATGCTTACGTTATTCAGATTCCTGTAACTTTCTCTGCTTTTCTTCAGAATCTTAGAAGATATAACATGAAGGGAGAACAGGACGGTCTTCCAAAATTTCCTGCTCGAAAGGTGTTCGCTCTTTTCCCCCTGTGATGCTGTTAATGATCAGTCTCTGAGTTTAGATTGTTTATATGTTTATTTCCTTTAAGCAGATGAAGTTCACCCCTAAGATACCTCCTCGGAAGGCACCAAAGCCTCTCACAACTAAAACGTATGGTGTAGATTATTGAAAGCACTATATTTTTAATGCATTTCCTGGAACTTACATGATGCTTGCTTGTAGGGAAAAACCTGAAACCAAGGATGATGTTGTTGATAAGGAACTGCTCTCAAAGCTTAACCATGCGAAGGTAATTATTAATTAATATTTCAGCCACTTGAAGCTGTCCGCCCTGCCCTTTTTACGATAATTTCTTTGTTTGATTGGAGCCATGTCTTAGCAGGCTAACGATGGTCTCATGAGGAGATTTCCTAAGAGTGATAGAAAAGGTTAGAGATACTCAAATCAACTTTCTGTAAGACAAATTACTCAACTCTGGTTCTTAAAGGACTCTATTTTAATCTGCCTTGGGTATATTCTCCAAAAAACATATTCTCTTAGTAGTTTCTTTTCATCGACTGACATGCTTTAGAGAACAAATGGTTTCATTCCTTTTCTAAAAAAGAAAATGTCATGACATTCTTATATTAATTGTAGGCTTTAATTCCTAAATTGTAATTTTCCTATGTCATAATGCTTCAAGAAAGCTTTTTCTTTTTTTTGCTCCATTTAGAGTAGAGCATCTCATGTGCAAGCAAGAAGTTGCACAATATGGAACGTAATAAATTGGCACATAAGCAGCCTTATGATACCTCTGTTTTGTGAAGAAGACACAATCATTCTTATAATTACTTCCACCTTGTAAATTAGAAACATTCTTTTCCTCTGTGAGAAATGAATCATTCCGGGTGCAAGCAAAAGCCACATATAGAAAAATGCACCTTGTTTTTTTATTATTGGACCTATGAGTTGGGCATGAGAAGTCTCTCTGTGAGTTGGAAAGCTCTCAAATATGAGTTGTTTCTGATATTATTGGACCTAAATGCACAATTCATTATCTTGTTGCCCTCTACGAGTTATATTCATAATTGGATTGAAATATATGGATTTTCATAGTGCAGTTTCCTCAGTGATGTACAGAACATTCAATATTATTTAATATGTACAAGTTGCCCACAGATTAAGATCAAAGGCCTGAAAACCTCCTCACTATTCAGTTGTCACAAAATGACATAATTCATATAGAATGTTCTTTTTAATTCATAGGGTTTACTGATATTTCTTCTGCAGAATATTTAAACTGTGAGTCTGTGATCACAGGATTCTCAATGCTGACTGTTTCTTTTAAAGTCCAGTTATCTGTTTGTTCATTGCAGTTGGTCCGTCAGAAGTAGCATTTGGCCATGGAAGTTCCTCGTTAGCAAGGTCATTTCCCAAGGGTCGTGGTACAGGAATCCAAGATTCAGGTGCCGTTTTGATCATGAATTCATGTCTCTTTGATCTGCCCTAACAAGTCATTGAACAACTGTTTTTTTTTTTTTTAATTCCGGGGTATGTAGATGGCCTTGATGTACAGAAATTTGAGAAAGAATATGTCGAGCCTTGGGTGAGTATAGTAGCATTACTTCCACCAAATCATTCTTTATAAGTGACATCATAGTTCTACTGTTTTGTCTCTTGACAGGATTATGATCATTCATACTATCCTTGCACACTTCCCCTAAGAAGGCCCTACTCTGGGAACCCAGGTAAAAATTGGTTCCACTGTACTTTACACAATCATGCAGCAAGGAGAGACTTTTCAGCTGTGCCCGGTTTGTTTCAGAAATTCTTGATGAAGAGGAATTTGGGGAGGCTTCAGCAAGCTTGGGTATGGATGAAACTAAAATTGATTCAGCCGGGGAACTTGGTCTGATGGTATGAATTTTTAGCATAGCTCATACTCTTCCGGATGCATTGCTCTCATTAGCATCTCAATGACGATCATGGCAGGAGAAGAGGGAAGAAACACAAATGCTCTTCTTTCAGTTTCCTGCAAACCTTCCACTGCCAAAGCAACCTGCTGCAACCACAAACACTAAAGATGCTGCAGGCAAGATAGACCGTGCATTGAAGAAGGGCTGCAAATTGGAGGAGCTGCCACCGGGGTTTATGGGTAAACTATTGGTCTACAAGAGTGGGAAAGTCAAGATGAAGCTAGGAGATACACTGTTTGATGTGAGTTGCATTTTTTGTTGCTTGTATTCTTTTCTAAGCAGCTGATATGTTAGCCCTGCTTGCTAATTAGGATTCAATTTCTTCTTTGCAGGTTTCTCATGGTTTATGCGGTTCATTCGCTCAAGATGTCGTAGCTATTAATACTAAAGACAAGCGCTGTTGTGTACTCGGGGAGATCGACAGGCGTGCGGTGGTGACCCCGGATATCGATGCTCTGTTGGACTCCATCAATGATCTTGATTGATGTTTAACTTTCTAACCCCAAACTTTGATCAATTATGAATCAACTCCTTCGTAATCTCAGAGGTGCACAATCGAAAAATTAGTTTATTTTTTTAATTTAATCATAAATGTATAACTTTTGGTTCCTGCTTTGCTTACCCACACGTATGCGGACATTTGACGACATAAATAAAGGCCATTATCATGCTTTAGCATGTATGTGATCTTAGTACATTAGGAGTACATTGGGCAGCATCTTTAATTAGAGCTTAAATAGCATGATGTGCCAAATACCAGGTATAAAATCTCTAAACAAATTTGTTGCAAATGTTACAGGGAGAGCCTATCAAACATGGAGAATCGAAACTGTATCGTGATAATGGTTAATTGTGATTCAAAACTGACTCGGCAAAATCGATATCTACGAAAACCTTTTTGCCATTCAGTTTGTGTGAACATCGAAAAAGGATTTAGAGGAGTCAGATGACATGTATTAAATTTGATCCATAAATTTAAGTTTTTAATGCTTTCTTATTTTCATGTTAATTATATTTTCTTTAACTATTTACTATTTTTATCTTACACATGAATATTTTTTAATAACTACATATATCGCATTAAAAGTATTAAATCAGGACAATATGAATTAGGATGTCAGAACAAAAACCAAGCATCCGATATTGCATAAAATATTAGTAATTAATTATTTCTGCTATCTACTTATTTATATACACAAATCCATCATTATATGTGTCCTTTGAGACAGCAAAAGACTGCTTTTTTTGGTTGCAGATATTGGAAGGCAGAATGACAGAAAACAATAGAGACAATTTATATGCTCGCTTGCACTTTGGAGAAAGCTGCACAATTCTGTTCTACTATTTTTCTCCCATCTTTTAGAGACCCTTTTGCTCCTCCATTCTCCTTCTGGTTTTGCTCGTTGCTTTAACTTCCCATACACTTCTTAATAGCTTGCACCACCACTTGCCTCACCATCTGTGCATCCACGCTCTCATTCTGCGGCTGCTAGAAGAAAAAGAGAAGGATGAATGCCATTTGAAATGAAATCTCAGAATTCAGCATTGAATTCTCAATGGTTCACTCACTATGCAGAATTCGACCTCTATCATTATTCTTGTATTTTTCACATTATACGCAAATTAATAATGCATGCGCTTCGGAGTTTCTTTCTCCATATGCTTTGTTTTAAGACAATATATGATATATATACATATACCAATTATAAGTCAAATGTGAAGTATTGTTTCATGTCGATATCGAACGTAACTAAACATCACTCAAACAAAATTGGGACATGATAAACCCTAATATAGATCCTATCTCCACTTAGAGATATAGTTTGCAGTAGGACTATGCACAATGACCAATTCTTTTGGACTTGATGCCATGTATCTTGTTCTTATACATGTTAATGCATGTAAGAGTGTGGAAACCTTCTTATATATCGAAAGGAGCAGTGTGGTCTGCACACCTCTGTAGATACACATAATTATGCAGGAGAAGAAAGCTACATCAAACATATAGTACACAAGCAGACATATCAATGAATGCGTTTATGCATGTAGCGAGAGAGCACAGTGTCTATGTGTAGATCATTACTGGAGGAGCACAGCTTGAACATTGGTCACCTTAGTCACTTGTGTATTATTATATATGAGGATGAGAGATGCATTAGCATGCTCATGTGTGGAGTATACTAGAGGTCTGGTGATGGAATTTATCTGCTTACTTCTCCTCCAACAGCTTCAAGACGAAATGAGTCGGCGGAGGAGATGGTTGCATCCAGCACATCAAGACCAAGTTCCTGGAATGCCTGAAGAACGGAGACAAGCATGCCCGGGCAGTTCTTGTCGGAGAATACATTGATCCAGAAACCCTTTTCTAGGGTTTCGACAGTAACCTGCAGGGATATTGTAGAGAAGTGAAACCAGGCCAACCGTGAGTTCTTCCAGGTTCATATAGCCTACTACCGGAGAGTACCATGGGGAGGGAGCTTTCCTCCGCGAGATCTGGTTTGCATGCTTCCACCTTTTGCTTCAGCTCTTGGATGTATTTTGACGCGTCCACTATAATAGAAGCTTTGCTTAGCTACGTACGGGGAGAGCGTTAGATGATGCGGCAAAGTGTAATACCACAAGTACATGAAATCTGAGAATAAAAGAACGACAGTATCTGCGATCAGTACTAAGGTACCTTTTAAAGGATAACTGTAGAGTTTAGATGTTGAAGTAATTTGTTTGTGCTTCCAATTATTCTCAAATTAATTGCAGTTCTTGGTCTAGATGGCATAAATGAGTTCGATACATTTGGATCGATCGACTCGTATGGGTTTCCATCCACTCCATGCTCTAATAGAAGAGGAGGATGGAAAAGGGACCATGTCAGAAGTTAGCAGTAAGGAACTATAGGATGACAGTAGGTTTTGCAGCTTGCAAATGGAAGAGAACAATCGGATGTCATTCGATAAATTACAGTGCGAAATAAGGAGTCAGAAAATGGTAGGAGGACTTTCAAACATGGTGGAGATGCAGCAGCACAAATACATCAACAAGATACAACAATTATCGAGAAAATTAAGCGTATTACTGCGCTGGAGTTGGTGACAGATCGAAGCAGCTGCAGCTTCTCATGCAAGACAGCCTTCTTTTGATCTCTGGATGTCATCTTTCTTTGTTCCACCCCCGCGCTTCCCTTCCTCCGGCCTCTTCCGGAAACGCCTGGAGGAGTAGCTTCGATAGAATATAATAGGGCAAGTCCGACACGATGTTGAGGTATCGTAGATTACTTTGCCTACGTCAGCTGTTACAGAAGGACAAACATCATTGCTGATAGAAACCTTTCGCGGGGATGAATTGCAATATTAGCTAACAATCCAATCATTATTTTGTTACATCACGCATGCAGTCTTGCTGTTACCTGAGAAAGCATGGGATGAGCTCCCACGTAATAATGGATAGCCAGCACAAAGTGTCAGTGAGGTCAACATCGCATTCCCCATCAAACTGCTGACTGCTTGGCCCACTGGGAACGGAGATGCACCAGCTGCAATAATTGAAGCCCAATTATGACTCACGAAACCCATTCCCACCACTACATGATGGTCCTTTCGCTTACAAACATTCACATAGCATCGGTTTACCGGCAGTCTTCTTAGAGTCGGTACCGTGAGTGAGACGAACGATGCTGGCGTGCTGTAGCGATGGAGCTCGTAGTGCTAGTGAAGTACTGCTTCATGCATATGCATGCACAAAGAGCAAGCAGAAACTTGGAACCAAATGCTAAGGGAGAGTTAAAAGTAGGAGAGTGGGGTAACGCGGAAAGAGGGAGAGGAATCTGAAGTGAGGTGCTCGTGATAGAGGCGGAAAGGAAAGCGTCGAGGGGGAGCTGTTTGGGTGTGCCAATGCGACGCGTGTTCTGATTTGGATCTTCTTTGCCACTCTGAGTTGTGAATGCCTCCAAACATCCCTCACGGGTATACCCTTATCGACTTCATTCATTCATTCATCAGCTTCGACTTGGCAGGAGTTGGAAGTGAGGATGATAGGTTGAACTATTCTGTATTAGACAGTTCACCTAATTGTTGTACATATGTTGGATTTTGTAGGTTGGGTTGAACACAATGGATGGGAAAGATGGATTTATCCCACGCATTTTATTCTGCAAATAATTTAATCTTAGACGATGCTGAAGTCCAGCTAGCAATAAAAATGCATGACAGAGTATGAATCATAAAACTATTCTAATTAGTTGGCTGATGTTTGCAACGTATTATGGCTTCTGTCTCCCACCCACAAGATTCAGACTCTCTGGCAGATGTACTACTCCTCCATCCTCCAAGTGAAGAGCAGAGTATAAGTGTTTAGCACGATGATACGGAGGATGTCGGTGTAGAATGGAAAAAAGTTATTCTGAAGAGGAATAATTTTATTGGATGATACTTATTTATACCGAGTTTGATTGAAAGGTTTTTCTTAATCATATACTTAAATTGTTCGATCATATTAATTATTTAAATTTATAATTAATCATCAAATTATAGATTATTTGAGGATGTAAAAAATTGTAAAGATGTTATTTCGTATTTGATTTTATTATGATCTTTTATCATGCCCGTAAAATTGAGCTTCCATCAAAAATATTGATATTGGAAAGATGTAATCAAAGTGTCTTTGGAGCGAAAAAAATTTATGAGGGAGTCTGTTAATTGATCAAAAGCATGAACGTGAAAAACACATAGTTGATATCTGATAACTTGATCTCTAACGAAGTGAAAGTCGATGATAATATTTTTTATGCATGAGTAGAACACCGGATTAGCGTATAGGTAAGTGACACTAATATTATCATAGTATATTATAGGAGTAGATTGAGAGATGATGCCAAGTTCGTGTAGTAGATTGGTGACCTAGTTGAATTCTGTAGTAGTGGTAGCTATGACTCGGTATTCAGCTTCAGTGGTAGATTTTGCGATTATGTTTTGTTTCTTGAAACTCCAATTGATTAGATTTATATAGAAGTGAGGAATATAATATGAAAAGAATATTATTCCATGTTTGTCTCTATTATGATCTTCTATCATGTTATTAGTTTTTTTCAAAGATATCAATCTTAGATCAATATAATTGAAATATCTTATGAGCAATTGAGCTTTGTGAGGGAGTTTACTAGTTAATCAAATGTATGTATGTGAGAAATACATAGTTAATATTTAACAATTTGTTCTCTAACGAAGTGGAAGTCAATAGCAATGTATTTCATGCATGAGTGAAACAAAGGATTGGCGTAATGGTAGGTGACACTGACATTTTACAATATATTATAGGAGTGGATTTGAAGGTGGTGTCAAATTTCTATAATCGATTAGTGACCCAGTTGAGTTCTGTAGCGATGGTAGCGATGACTTGATATTCAACTTCAATTATGGATTTTGTAACTGTTTTCTATTTTTTTAAACTCTAACTGATTAGATTTACTCCAAGAAAGATAATATCGGTTGATGTAGATATTTTATTATCAATGTTATATATCCAATTAGCATCGACGAAGGTATAGAGATGAAGTGATGAGTGTTTACGAAAAAAAAATCTATGATCGAGAGTCCCCTTTAGATACCGCAGAACTTGTTTTACTATAGACAATGCATAGTAGAAAATTAATGCACATGATAATTTATTGACTATAAATGAAATATCTAGATATGTAAGATATAAGTCCTGTAAGGAGCCAAATACTTGTCGGTACTGTGTGGGATCCATCATAGGGTTGTCATCATATAATTTGAGTGATTCAGTAAAAGTGCAATTGATACTTATAGTGTAAGATATTTCCTAAGTTATTTGGATTAAAGTTATCACCACTATTGAAGGATTGATAGTGTAATGGAGGATGATGGCTCTGCATATTACCCATGTGTATATCAGGCATCTTATTGGATCCTTTGTTGAAGTTTTTATTACTTTGATTATTAATTCTTTTAAAATGTTGACCGACTTAAGTTGTGATAATTAGTTATATCATCCTCTCTTCTTTTTTTAGATATGTTTCATTATCAATTAACTTGTTATACTATTCTTCAAATGACATAAGTGAGTCTCTTGCCAGAATTACTATCGTAAGTTCCTTATATTTATCTCCTAGGCTATTGAGAGTATAGACAATAACTTTTTCATCACTTAGAGGATAACCTATTAAAGTCAAGTCATCTATTATAATTTTTATATTTTACATATAATTAGCATTAGTACTTATCTGCTCAGATTGTGAGTTAGAGTATATGTTGACGTAAATATTCTATCATCAGTATTGTTTGCCCAATCAGTGTCGATGAAAGCATGAAGATGAAGTGAAGAGTATTTATGTAGAAAAAGTTCATGAGAGTGTCTTTAAGAAACCACATAATACGTTTTAGTGTAAACTAATATATAATAGAGGGTCCATACATAAATTATGATAATTTATTAACTACAAACAAGATATCTGGACATGTAAGAGATAATTACTATGAGGAACAAAGTACTTGTCGATACTATGTAGGATCCATAGTAGGGCTATCATCATATAATTTGAGTGATTCAATGATGGAGAGTGGGGTGGTTACTTCTTTGGCTGAGACCTACATTGAAGGAGGGCTCATTGAGATATGTTGTCGAAGCGAGGAATGATCTATTGTAGATTGCCAAAGGACTGGTTAGATCAGCGAGGTGGATGACTAATTAGATTAGCAATGGAGAGGGGAACAATCATCGGAAGCTTGGATCAAATCAACATCAGTAGAGGTAGCAGATCATATCTGCATCGTCGAAGGACTGATCAACTCTATCATGCAGGTCGCGAAAGGGTGATTGTAGCAATCAGGGTGGAGTAGTGATTGAGGAGGGCTCTTGCTTGGGCTCTGAGAGTGGGTCACGAAGGAGGAAGGAAGTCATTCGTGCTTAAAGCAAGAAAACTCTGATACCATGTAGAATAAAAGTTATTACGAAGAGGAGCAATTTTATTCATTGAGATAATAAGTATTTATACAAAATTTGAGTTTTCCTTGATCATGCACTTAAATTACTCAATCACATTTAAATCTATAATTGATCCTCAAATCATAGATTTATTGAGGATATAAGAAATACAAGATATTATTCTGCTTCCATCATGATCTTCTATCAATCGATGATAATAAAATCAATTTGACTTGATTTGGATCTATATGCAAAAAAGTGTTTTTATGATACTGATAGCAGATAAGATTTCCTCAACTATATGAGAGGAAATCTCTCTACTTTATTGAGAGAAATCCTCTATTCTGTTTGAAAAATCCTCCCTCCAATTCTGTATAAACAGGAGAGGAACATGTTAATGTATTCTTCTTTAATAAAGCTTTTTTAATAAAGTTTCTTTTTTCTATTTTATTTATACAACCGAGAAGCTCTTGGTTGAAATAGGAGACAAGGGTGAATATTATATGACCTCCATTTATTAAGGTTTGGTTTGCCTTTTATATATATCTGATTTAACCTATTAAAATATTTTACCGAGTGAAGGAATATTTTTTGAATCTTTTATATTCGATAAATATTGACATAACCTAATGATGACCGAAGGTCTTGACCACCTTATGCTGACGGGATGGACATGTGTCAAGCCCAGAAGAGAGGTAAACATTTCTCCCAACCGTGTGTCATAGCACATACATTGATGCGCGTACATGTTTGTGTATATTTATATATGTATATGTATATGGATGGATAGTGACACCAAAATGTTGAGACAGACCGCATCTCGTGACATCGCCGTGATACAACGTCGATGACAGCTCAGTGGGAGGTGGAGGATAGCAATACGTACAGTGGTTGGATGGTTGTGGTGATGACTCTCACACCATTGTGGCTTACTAGGTTGTCTGCATGCCATTAGGGACAAACCATGCACGTACCCTTATTCCATTCACGAGTCTGCTCGACCACCCTAATCATTGGCATGGCCACGCACCGATCCACCCATTCACTTCTCGAGGGGTTTGCCACTACCACTCCATCGTAAGTTACCCAAATCCAAATCCAAGTCCACCATATTTACATGTTAATATCATATGTTAATAACATGTGATCACATCGGTATTTACATGGTATTCTATCGTCGATATATCCATATTGACATTCTTAGGTTAATAATATTTTATCTCGGAATAGCACCTCGATTTCAATATATTATTCTAATAATAAACATTGAAATATTTATTCTATATAAGATCGAACTTGAATCATTCCGACACATTCTCTCATATTATAAACTTGCTATTTTAGTGTGTGA